CTTTGCATACAAGGTTGAAAGAGCACTTTCAATTGGTACTACAATACTGAATGCATAGTTGATGGTACAGGCATGGATTTGCCTTCCTTGTTCAAAAGCATTAAGACTCGAACATGCTTTGAGGACGGTAGCCGCCGTTCATAGGGCATTCTTCCCCTCCCTTTTTTAATGTTTAATTTTTTTTTAATATTTTCTTTTTTATGGAAGAGACTTTAAGAAAATATTTAGAGTACTTGGATCTAAGGAAAGACATGGCACAAAACCGAACGCAATGGTGTTCTAGGATTCATACAACCAACCCCACTTAGTGGGAAAAGGCTTTGATGTTGTTGTTGAATATTTTATTTTCCATATAATTATAAAGACTTTCTTTATTGTCCAAGTAATTAATTATAAGGGTAAAGTTGTCAATTTATTAGCAGAATTTTGACTGAAGGGGTCATGTCAAAGTGAATTAAAACTTGAAGGGGTGTTAGTGTAATGTCTCAAACGTGAGGGGGTTTTTGTGAAAACTCGATAAACCTCAAGAGGTGTTAGTGTAATTAACCTTTATATTTATAAGTTCATTGAATCCAATGGTTAAGATTTAATATAATCAAATCTAACGGAAAGAAAAAAAATCTAATGGTCAGAATTTAAATCTAAAGACTAAATTAAAAAAAAAAATTCATGTGTTTCATATTCTTTCATAGTGTACCATAAGTTTCATGGTGTCAGTTTAATGATTTTTCAATATTTATCGGAATATAAATATTTTTAAGTTCAAATGTTCATAAAATTAAATTAGAATAGTCTACACAATTTTTTTTTTTTTAAGTTACTTTAAGAATCCTAAATTCATTATTTAATAATTTTGAACTAAAAATTTAACAATACATATGACTACAGGTCCATTTCCACATTTGCTGGTTGTCCATTCCCAACAACCCTAAACTTGATATATGAGTTGAAAAAAAATATTCATGCAGTCCACAGAAGACAAATTCAAACAACGTTAGGGTTTTCAGACAAGAAGCAAAATGATTTCATGAAGAAACATTTTTGAATCAGATAACGTAATATGAAAGTAGAAAATTAAAAAGAAGGTAATAGTGATGCGTTGAATGTAGAGAAGAGAAGAGAAGAGAAGCCAACATCCTTGATGCGTTTTATACCCCATCTGATTCATCTGCTAGCTCTTAGTCAAATAATACCTATTTTTTCTAATATTAGAAAAGATTTCAAAGTCAAATCTCTCATTCCCCATCAGTGTTTTAAAAGACGCATCTCGGGTGCGTTTAGGCTACCTTGGAGGTTGGGTTTCGGCAATTTTGCCTCTGTTTTCTTGGATTGGACGGAAACTTGCATAGGCTTATTTGGGGCGTGCCTAAGGTGTTGACTGGACGTTCCAGTGATCCAAAATCTTTTTTGAAATCTAAAATTTTCTGGAAAACTCTGTGCTTTGTAACTATGTTGCAACGGCGTTTTCACGAAGAAGACGACCGCGCGAGGAAGAAGAAATGTTTTTTATTTTTTATAAAGACTTGGCCCAAAACGACGTCATTTTGGCCAAGTCTAATTTTTTATTTTTTTTTTATAATCACTGCAGTTCTTCTTCTTTGCCAATTCTCTGTTATTTTCACCACCCAATATCCCATTTTCTTTGTGACCAACCAATACCCAATTCTCTTTGCTATATTTCACCCCATCCCTAATTCCACGATTCCCCAATTCCTCAAACCCTAAATTCTCAATCCCAATCCTATATTTCAATTTGACTCCAATCTCATACCTCAATTTGTTTCAAAATTCAAGTTTTTTAGTATTCTAATCTCAATAGATAATTATATATACAATATATATTAAATTATTTAGGTCTTGTGAGGTTTTGCCTCACGCCTAGGCGGGACTATCCATGGAACGCCTCCGCCTTTTAATACATTGTTCCCCATTGATAAACAAAAACAAAAAAACAAAGACCAATGGACTTGTCTTGAGACGACAACTCCTTACAACTCACTCTAAGGTCATATCCAACCAAAATAGCTAAATATAGCCCCGTCTAGAATTATAGCTCTCCAAAAAATTATTTTTTAAATGAACAGTGTTAGACTATACTTATATGCCATCTCCCACCGAAGGGGCTAAATATAGCCCCCTAAATAATTTACAGTTTTAAATTTACTAGTTAATTTAATAAAACGACCGTTGGATGTTTTCAAATCTAGCCTTGAATTTGAATCAATTATTGCAACTGAGAAGTTGAACCCCTAAAAATGAGCTAAGAGGGGGGCTACATTTGGCCAAATAATGGTCTAGTGGACTCCATAGAATAGTAGCTCAATCATCATTTACAAATGAGTTTATGAACAAATCAGACCAAATTTTGACTTTTGAACCTTTAGCCTTCTCCATTAGAGATGACTTAAGGTCATCTCCAACTAAAAGGGGTATATTTAGCCCCCGTCCAGATTATAGATCTGCAAGAAATTATTTGTTAATAAACAGTGCTAGACCATATTTATGCACCATCTCCAATCGAAGGGGGCTGTTTTCTAGTCCCTTCAATAATTTATTATTTTAAGTTTGTTCTTTAATTTTATTGGTAGATTAAATTAAACTACCATATTAAAATAAGGTTTCCAGACGTCTTTTGAGTGTCACTTGTCACTAAATGAATAAGCATTCGTACATCATTGAAGTGCCACTTATAGATGTGACCAGTTGAAAATTATTGAAAAAAATTAAAGGAAATATTATTAAAAGAGTTAAGAGAGGTGTGTGTATGAAAAAAGTGTTTGAGGTGAATAGAATGTGAAGAATTGAAATAAAATGAGGTAAGATAGTATGAAAGGGTGAAAAGGATGTGAGAAATTGTCACATCCCGGCCCAGGGCGGATCACTTCCCGGGCCCGCTCCACCACCGTAGCACGATATTGTCCGCTTTGGGCTTACCATTCCCTCACATTTTTGTTTTTGGGAACTCACAAGCAACTTCCCAGTGGGTCACCCATCATGGGATTGCTCTAGCCCCCTTCTCGCTTAACTTCGGAGTTCCTACGGAACCCGAAGCCAGTGAGCTCCCAAAAGGCCTCGTGCTAGGTAGGGATAGGAATATATATTTAAGGATCACTCCCCTGATAGAAATGTCTTAGGTATTATAGGAAAAAAATTAGAATTAGAATTTTTTTTTTTTTAATTTTGTCTTAAAAAAGTAAAAAGTAAAAATCCAGTTGGGCCCAATTGAAAAGGCTGCCTGGCTGACTAAAAATAGCCAGCCCGTTGGCCATATGGCTGGATTTTGGCCTGGTTGGTCCCAAGATTTTTTGGCCCAGACCTTCATTGAAGATGGGTTTTGTGTCAAAAAGAGTTATGCTTTGGCATATGGCCTTATGGTCGGCTCGGTTGGAGATGGCCTAAGAGGGACACTGAGAGGTCAGAGATTGATTGACTCCTTAGGCCATCTCCAACCAACCAGGCCAAAGGGCCATATGCTAAAATATAGTTCGTTTTGACACGAAAACTGTCTCCAACCGAGGGCTAGGCCAAAGGGCTTATGGGCCTTACTTGACCAAAAATCAAACACCAGGCTAGTAGGTTGGCCAAAATGAGCTAGCCAGTCAGCCCGATACAGTACCCCAGCCAGCGCCATTTATTGATTCCATTCCATTTTCCAGCCTGAAATTCCCAAAGCTGCTCCATTGCATTTTCCGATAAAATAACAAAGCTTAATTTTATGAAGCGGTTCGTTCTAGCGCCATTTGTCAGGTGCATTTGACATTAACATAATTTAATCTTATGATAAATTACAAAGCTTTTTAGACGAAATCTTTTAAAATAAAAATAAAAATAAAATCTAATTTTTTTTCCTATAAATACCTAAGTCATTTCTACACTATTTTTCACATTCTTTTCACCATTTCATACCATCTTACCTCATTTTATTTCAATATGGTAGTTTAATTCAATTATGTCCGAAAACCTTAGAGACAAGTGACACTCAAAATATGTCCAAAAACCTTATTTTAATTCAATTAACCATATTAATTTAATTAAAATAATAAATTATTGAGGGGCTAAAAAGTAGCCCCTTTCGGTCGGAGTAAGTTTTTTGTCAAAGGGCTATGTTTTGGCCTATGACCCTTTGGCCCCCTCGGTCAGAGATGGTATAAAATATGGTTAGCACTGTTCATTAAAAATAATTTATTGCAGGACTATAGGGCTAAACATGGCCCTTTGGCCCTGAAAAGGCCATCTCCAACTGAAAGAGCTAAACATAGCCCCGTCTAGAATTATAGCCCCGTAAAATATTATTTTTAAATAAATAGTGCAAGGTCATACTCATATACCATATCCAACCGAAAAGGGCTAAACATAGCCCCCTAATACTTTATTAGTTTTAAATTTATACTTCAAATTTATTTGTTAATTTAACTAAATTATCGTTGGATGTTTTCAACTTTAGACGTTCAATTTCAATCAATTATTTTAAGTGAGGAGTTGGGGCCCCAAAAGGGGCTAAGATAGGGGTTATATTTGGCCAGCCTGATATCCCTTTGGCCTAATGATGACGTCTGGTGTCTTCCATAAAATTATAGCACAACCATCGGTTGAAGATGAATTTTTGAACAAATCAGACCATTTTTTAGCTTTTGAACCTTCAGCCATCTTCATTAAAGATGGCCTTACAGCCCGCACCAATAGCACCGAGCGGTCGAGTATTGATTGAATAGGCAGCCCAGCCCAGCCCCTTCCCTTTAATTTTATGATAGAGATCGATCACCATCTCATATTGCACCGTTCTTCCCCGCCCAAACACCCCCCGAGTGCCAACCTGCTCGTGCTCATAGCTCGATCATTCTTCGCAAGGGGAGCATCTTATGCACTAACCTTTTCACCTTCTGCACTCCTCCCGTTAATTCTGTCACTCGATTGTCTGTTAAAATCGCTAAACGACAGAGGCGAGTCCAGAAGGTGAAAACGAGTGCATAATTCAATTCCCGTTTAGTAAACCCTTCATCTTCACAAAGAAAGAAGTTGCACCCAATTTCATTAACCATTAAGCTTATTGTCCGAATCGATAACAAAGGAATACAAGTCATATAACTACTACTAATAATACTACTAAGACACAATCGGCAGCCAACCTAATCTCTGCCGATCTAACGAAGCATTACCAAACCAAACAACACAACTCTATATTTGGTCCTACGAGTTTCCAACCTCACAAACAGGTATAAGTTCAAGCGTACACCACAAAGCATTCTTAACCGTCACTCTCTCGGGAAACAAAGTGCGTCGGGTTGAAAAGAAACCCGTTGTCGACAAGGTTATATCACTCTACTTCAATAAGACTCTGCCTACTTCGTCTTTCGCAACCTCCCTACAAGCCTAATACTTAAGAACCTATACACATGCTATTGCTAATGAAGCTTCAAGTGTCCAGCCACAGTGAAGCACTACCGAGACTAACGAAGCTGGTATTAGGACCTCCGTCCCTGGTGGTTGTTGAAGAATAAATGCTTCATGTGGCCCCTTGGGTGTTGCAATTGCTTCTGAAGTATTTAGGACGTTCGATCTGAGGAAGCAAGCTCATTTTTATCAGAGTTCAAGTTGATATTTGACTGCGATTTGTTACCCGATGTCATTTCATCCTGTTCATTCTCATTTTTCTTTGCATTAAGAAAGCGACCCCCGCATCCTCTAGCTCTTCTCAATGCATGCTGGTGTCGAGATTCATGCAAGTATGGCTGCAAGAGTAGTTTGAAGTGCCAATGAATAAATGAAGCCTAACTAAACGTTTCATTGAACACAAGGTGCAAGGATTTGCAATCCACAATACTACCTTACGATTCTTAAGAGCTTTATTTTCAGATTCTGCTTTAGCACGAGACTGCCGACGTCGCAAGATACCATGATACTGTTTTGCATTTACAAACACAGGTTCCTCAACCGCATCTGACGGCAGTGGAACACCTGCTTGCTGGATTCCCATCAACTGAAGATGAACCTGAAATGAAGCACACGCAGTAATAACCATAAATTTCAGGCTCATAAGCAAAATGCGGTCTCATCTCGCCATATTCAAGTACTATTATCAAGAAATGGTATCTACAAGACAGGGGAAGATATACCGTTGGTTGCGCGGCCCCATAGGGCTGTGAAGGATATGGCTGTGTTTCATAGGGAGCAAAGATGCTTCTGTAGTAAGGGTCTGGATAGGGGTAAGCTCCTGGTGCCTTCAATTAGACAAGCGAAGCATAATGTATCAAAATATTTGAAATACAATTTGGTACGGATGATAATTTTTCTCTGTTTTGCTCTCTACTTTGTATATGTAACTAGGCAGAAGCAGAACATTGATATGCTGTTTATTCAGTTACAGAAGCACTTACATCAACCAATTTGTTCAAACAAGGTCAATAGTTTCAAACAAATAGTGAAAGTAGTCACAATCAATTATTTATACACTAAAATAAGAGGGCAAAGTACACAAGGGTATTCTATGAAAGGATCACCTAAAGAGGAAAAACTACGCATTAATGTCTAGGGCTAAGAACGCTTACAACAAAGTAGGTACCAAAATGAACCAGATGAAACCTTAGGCCAAGAGGAGACATACACAAGCTGCCTCACAGGATATTGCTTATTTCAAAATCTATGCCAAGTGCCAACTATCTGTAAGAATTCGAAGATGATTTCCTCAGATTATAATTGCAAATGAGCCGGTTATCTTAAGCTTAACCTAAAGCATTTACATTAATATTACAAACAAACATCTACATGAAACATAGCTCGAGAAGCAAAACTTACCAATGATCCTTAACATTCTAGATCTAGAATAAGAATGTTTTAAACGATAACAACAATTTCGACAACATTAGTTTGGAAGGAAGGTTGCAAGAGCAAGTAGACGGTAAATCATAAAGGAAGGACAAAGGAAGAGAAGGAGATTTTTCCTTCCTTTTGTTTAGTAAAAAGGATGGAAAGGAGGAAAAGAAGTGTAAACACGACTTTCACAATTATACCCTTACTCAAATTTAATTGCTTTGGGACAACAATGCAACCCGAAACAAGATCTCTACTAGAAATTAAACCCCCACAAAATCAAATTAAGAATTTCATGGGTCAATTTGAAACACTTCCTTCCACCTCCATCCTTTTTTTCCGTTACAAAGCATAGTTTAATCTCTCTATGTACAGAAGATCAAAATTATTGAGACTCAAACCATATAAACTGCCTAAATACCTTGCAAAATACAACATTGTCTTCAAAATAAAAAGCATTGATCTTTTATTTCGCAAATAGCTTTTTCCATATTTTTTTTAAGTTTAAATTTTGCAATGAATGTCCCTAATTATGACCAGATATGCTGCCAAAGAATCATAACAGTGTGATACCTGTAATTTAGTCCTATTAATCCACCAGTTTCTTTACAAGTGATGGCCTCTAATCCATTGAATTCATCTTTTTTTTATTTTTACTTTTTTCTTTCTCAATCTTGGATGCATGTCTTGAAGGCTAAATCTATTTTCTTTCTAACCATATACAAATTCTCTTTGGGGCCATGTTGCACATTGCTTCACTGCTCTGTTACCCAAGTTTAAGAAGCAAACATCTCTTATATTTAATAAAATTGCAACTTCAACATCATTAAAAAGAGAAATAACTGTAAATTACTTGATGAACTAAGTAACCTGTTACCACATATATGCTTCAGCACATTCTAAAACTTGACGGTCAAACATGGTGTATAGGATCACCAATGTATACAGGGCAACATCTTCATAAACGTTCATCTTATTTTCGCTACCTGGAGTCACGACAAACACACATATACAAATATATGGCACCAAACAAACCACAAAATAGATGACACAACAATAAAGTAGAACAAGTAGTGGACTTCCTCTTGCATGAAAACACGTCAACAAAAAAAAAAGAAAAAAGAGTTTTAGATGGATTACCACTGCGTGTCCCGTTCCAACTTGTGGAGGTACTGCATACTGCATATTTGTGGTTGCTACTCCAGGATGAGACATTCCAATTGCAGGTAAGGATGAATGAACTTGAGACTCTGAATGACTTTGCTGGTCATCAGAATCACTATTATCTGCAAAACCATTATCATAAAGTATATAACATTGCGGTTCGAGAAATGGTATACAAACAGACAAGTGAAGAAAGGACGAAACAAAAACCATGATGCCAAGCATCACGCAAGAAATAAAACCAAAATCAATAACAAAGAATTGAAAGCTTGGAAGCTTGAACTTCAATGTTATACAGCCAGAAATATGAGAAAAAAGTGTAGTAAATCCTACATCACCACCTCGGTCATTATGTAGCATGGAAGCAATATATGAAACACGTAGTCGGGATGTCATAAAACAGCATTACTAGACAGCATTAAGGCCGACTAAAACAACACAAGGTAGAGCCTTCCTTAGAGCACACCTCAAATTAAAGGGGTAAATGGATTATCAGTGAGATGGTAAATTATGTAAACCATAATTCGAAGTCAGGAATACCAAAGGAAGTTGAGGACTGGATGTCTGGAACAGAAACAGATCTTGCTAAAATCAAACCGTGATTTCAACCGTCAACTTCAGAAATGGGATGGGTATTTGGAATGAAAAAGGTAAGCAGATGTTAATCTCACAAAAAGTTATTGGATTCTAGAATAATCCACAAAGAGAAAACGAACGAACCCTTACTTGAACAAGTTTAACACAAAATTTACACCATTATTTTTATCAAAGAAGCAGAAAAACCAAAACGACCAGTTTCTTGCCACATTAACTACTCCGGCTCAATTAAATGCCAGAAACATGCGTCCTTATCCATTTACAGCAAGTTGAATGGACTGAGTCACTTAAAGGTATCACATGATGATATGAAATTTATGAATATGGATTTTGGGGGAAAAAATTTACCAGAATGATGGCGCACAGAAGAAGTCATGAGGATGTTGTACGTGGAGAGTTCGAAAACAATATGTAGCTGCAAAGTAATAATCACCCAGGTCAATGTCATACCAAAATAACATGTTACTACAATAATAAGAAAGTATGACTTTGCTGAATTGAAAATCTATTAGTGTAAAAAATAGATTCCATCTGTGAGAACGAGCGAGTGTCACCACTATCACTAAAAAAATATCTCAAAAACAGAAAATTACAAGCAGACCCAATCTACCAACACCAAGGCACCAAAAATCAACCGAACTGCAACAACACAATCGGAATTTAGTGCAAAGAAAAGAATATCCCTAAAATTCAGTTGCTAATCAATGCCCACAAGAAGCCCGAAAGCTCACTAGTACGACCTACCATAGTATAATATAACCACATATATTTGAGAACCACGAAAAACAGAAGCTGCAATTAGGAAGGGAATTGGGAACTGATATCGCAGAACCATATCAGCAAAATGAAAGAACAAGATACAATCAAAGATACGCGATGACACTGATAGCCTTCAAGTATGAACTACTAATTTCCAAAGTGTAGCTTCCATTTTCCAGCATAACAAAGATACTGAAATAGAAACAGATTTAAAAAAGGTGCACTAGGCTTTGTCTCCCTCCACAGAGAGTCCAAGGAGGACTGGATGTGCAAATCCTTACCCCCATTTCGAAAGGTTGCCAAGTCGAATGGGTGACTACCAGATCACAATGGAGCAATCTTACCATTGCGTCGAGGCTCGAAATACATAGATAAACAAATCATCAATAAACAAGAACTCCCTCCACTCTTAAGTTGTAGCCAAAGCTGCAGATTTATACTTAATATTCTTCAATGAATGCCTTGAAACAACTAATTTAGCTCATGAAACATAATCATGGTTAAAAGCAGAAAGTAAACCCTACCCATCTCAATAATTTCCAATCCAACCAATTAAGTTCATCTGTATGCTCAATTCCATAATCAAGTAAGAAACGCAGAATTAAACCCAGAAAATTCAGCTCAATTAACTCTGAAAACACCTAATAAACAAGCTAAAAAAAATCAGAAAATCCACCAAATCAGCAAGAACAAACAAGTCCCCAGTTCCATGCATTTTCCCCCCAATTGCACCAACTGGAGAATTCCCCATAATTGGCAAGGCAAAATAAATTAGAGAGCAAAAATGCTAGGGTTTCGAAATTTGGGAAATTTACCCTTTATTCGCTGGTTGCTGCCACTTAATTAGTAAAAAATCTGCTTCTTCTGCAGGTACGAAAAATGGCGTCTGACGGAATCAGAACTCCTCTCTCTCTCTCTCTCTCTCTCTATAAATATATATCCATATTGTTATCTCTCTCTCTCTCTCTCTCTCTCTCTCTCTATATACATATATATCCATATTATTACTACTTTCAGCTGCATGCCCATTTATAGCCATACAACATTTTTATTTTATTTATTTATTTTATTTTATTTTTTGTGTTTTATTTTTATCGGTTAAGTGTCGAGCAGGATAGGGAGAGGTGGACACGTGGGCCGTCGGATGGAGGGGTCTGTTTCGGGCAAGGGGGAATGTGCTGCCCGGGAGATAATCTGGACCAGGAATTCGGCGGGGCCTACTGCGCGGGGGAGAGGGCGGGATTGAGAGTGACCGCTGACCTACATTTCCGTTAGGGTCCACGTCCTCTCTGAACTAGCTATTTCAAAGTTTTCTTGACACAGATGCTTTAAATATATTAAAGGAAATGGTAGCAATAATCGTTTAATTTTAACTTAATTAAAATGATGATTGTTTTCTTTAACTTTGTTGGAATGTTTGTGAAAACTATGTTTTACACAGGAGCTGAATTGAACGACAAATATAGAAAATCGAATGAGAAAAATTATAATAATGGTCCATTAACTTTAACTCAATTAGAGAATGATTCCATAACTTTAACTCAATTAAAGCAATGGTCCCTTAATTTTTATCAATTATAGCAATGATCATTCTAACATAACTCATTTTGATAGAATTCTAATGAAGTTAACGAAAATGACCATAACTGTATATTTTGATAAGTTAAGAGACCACTAGTAATTAATTTTTAATTAAGAGATCATTATTCAAATTAAGTTAAAATTAAGAAACCTTTCACACAAATTAAATTAAAAAAAATAATTTCCGCCAACATATCAGTTTTTATTTAAAATTTACTCTCACGTTTCCTCTCTCACGCATTTCTCTTCAACTTCTCTCCATAGTATTTTTTGTGGGGCCTACTATGTGGGCCTAGGTTGAGCTCTTTCTCTCTAGAGATATTTTTTAATGTGATCAGTATACAAGGTCAGTACATCACATGTTACTAAACAAATTGTGAGATATATGTGCTAAAAAGTTAATAACTTAAAAAATAAAATTTTTTACTATTCATATTAAAACATATAATGTACCACTTTATGTTTCCGTCATAACTAAAAATTTCACTTCTCTCTATGTTTACTTTTCTCTCATTTGAGTCACGGAGGAAAAGAAAAATAAGAAGACAAAGTAGGAATAAAAACAAAATAGTAGTAAACAACACTAGTCCGTATCGGAAGGGTGAGGGATTTATGGATAACAATTTATGTTATCGTGATCGAGTGAAAAGTGTGTGGTGAGATTGTTTTTCATTTTAATTGTTATAATAGTTGTGGTTACGTAAGTTGACCATGAAATATAGATCTCTGGTACGAGAAATTATTGAATAATACAGTATCATCACGTAGCATTAATAGCTAGTAGTTATTGTATCGGACAAGAATTGTCTGTCTTTTCACGTAATCATAAGTCACATCAATATTTTATATTACTATTCATTTTTGTCTTATTATCTTTATTAAAAAAATAATATAAAATGTTGACGCGGCTTAACCGTTACCACACAAAACAGAAGAGCACGAAAGAACATTGAATGTGGGACGGCAAACAATCCCTTGTCCTATATATCACCACGTAGCATTATGGGCAACGTATGACATGTGGCAGAGTAATTATTAAAGAAAAGTTGAAGGCTGGGTTTCAATGCTTCTCCCGTTCCTCTACTCCCTCCTTTTCCATCAAAAAAAAAAAAAACTAATGAAAAAATTTTGAAAACTTTGAGTTTTAAAGATAAAGACAAAAAAAAAAGTAAAATGAATTATACCAAAATTAACTTTTTAGTGTAAAAATGTAATTTTTCGTTAAAATGAACAATATTAATAACTTTTTGTTAAAATTCCCAAACAAAAAATTTCCTCCGCCTCCTCTTTTGCTTGAATTTTGATTGAATCTCATCCTAAACATTAAAATCCACAAACTACAAATACCAGAAATCTCATGTTATAGGTTCTGAAATTTTTTGCTTGAATCTAATTGCAATTTTTTGATTGAATTTTGTTTTATCCTTTTGGATTCCAGCTTGCGCAAATTTGGAGGTTCTGAGTTTTCTTAGACAAAGATAACATATGCGATTCAATTTGATGGGTGAGTTTTTAAAGCTTGGGGGAACCATTTGCAAATGAAAAAATTGTTGTCCTTCTTGCTTCATCTGCAGATGGATGGGAACGTGATGGGTGATTTTTTAATTTTTTTTATTTTTTAACAATATATACGTTAAAAATGATGGAAGGTTGGCTTAGGCTCATAATAGATTAGCAATAATATAGTTCAAATCCGCATTTGATGAGAATCGAACGTAAGACTTCCACTTACATATGAAGAAGAATATCACTAAATCGTAAATACTCAATGACACGTGATGGGAGAGTTTTAAGCTTGAAGGAATCAGATGTGGCAGCCCAGAGGAGGCAGAGAGTTATGTGACGGAAAAAAGGCAAGAAGGAGATGGGGGAAGGAGGAGATGAAGTTAAAAAATTTCCGTTAACGAAGAGGAAAGAGAAGAAGTCGGTTGATGAAATTATTAATTAAAAAATACTGATAATTTTTATTATCTCACAATTCCACATGCCGTGTTTAATTAATAAGTACCACCATTTGACAATGCCACGTGGTACTACAGTACCACTCTATAATATCTTCTCTGATATAAGTTTGATCTCCATTTTTGTAGTTAGAGTGTTTCATTTCTATATTAGCGGGAGGAAGATTTCAATAAATCATATTAACTCAATCATAACTAAATTTTGTACTCGTCATTCATAAATCATGAAACTTTATACGTATAAATGAGAAAAAAAATATAGCAGCACTACATCGTAGTGTATGAACATAACTGATCACTAAGAAAGTAACTGAATTATATTATACTTGTGGCTAATAAAATTAGAATAATATATCGTTCATATAAAAAAGAAGTTGACGGAATAATTGTTGTAGACCTTTTTCTCTTCTCTTTTTTTTAAAAAAAAAAAAGAAAAAGAAAAAAAAAAAAAGAAGTTTCACCTTACCCGTAGAGGTTATGAGAAGTTTCACCTTACCCGTAGTCAGAATCAAGCAGACTCACTAGTTCGGAGCATTGAACTCGGGACCTCTCACATTTTTTTGTTTATTGAAAACCGCAGTTCGTGTAGGCCACTTACACTGGTTATTTTTGTAGACTTTTTTTTAACCCAAGTCTAAAAGCACGAGATGCGTAGAAAAGGTAAATAAAAGCGTGTAGAAATTATATTTCAAACTTAATTATATCAAAATTTATCGTAATTTAAAAAAAAAATTGCATTTAGATTTGCTCTGCTAGGCTTGTTTTGACTAGTTGCCAACGATAATTGATTCAGTTGGTAATAGTATGCTTGTGGTTAACCTCCAATTCAAGTTCGATCCTCATTACCAATGCCATCAGTTCTCATTGGTGCACCATTGTAAATTCATGCGTAATTTATATTAGTGTCAACTGACAGTTATGTGTCATGCATAAATAGCTTGAAGTTGTGGGTATATTCTGGTAATAGTAAGAGTAGCCAACCTCCTTATAAACTTTACATTATAAAAAAGAAAGAAGATTTGACTAGTCAAATTCGTCGGCCATATTATTGTAATTTTGGGGGCTGGTCTTCTACAAAAACCCTTCCCAATTCCAGTCTCTTAGAGTATTCTACTTGAATCTAACTTTTTAAACTTAAAAACAATTTTCAAGTTTTAGGCCTTAAAAACTTGTTTGATAGAACTATTTTAAAAAACTGAACTCAAGACTAACTAAAAAATATAGTCTATTATCTAAAAACACAAAAAATGAGTTTTTAGAATTTTTAAATTTAAACTTATTCTTTTTTTTTTTCTCTCCCTCCTCCCCTCTCACTCCAAATTTATCTTTCTCACCCTTCTCTTTATTTTTTTACCTTTTTTTGTCTCTCCTCCAATCCGCTATCTTCATTCTCTTGGTTATTTTTCTCACTCATCTTCCAATATATCTCCCTTTGATCCTCTCACTTCTTTCTCTTTCCTTCAATCATCTCTTACTTTCTTTCCTCCTCTATCCTCTTTCTCTCTCAGACCCCTTCTTTTTGGATCTCTTTGTCCAATTTAAGTTGTAAGATTTAGAATTTTTAAATCGCATACCAAATAAGTTTTTGAGTCTTAAAAAAAATTATTTTCAAGAAAAATTCTTAAGAAATATTTTGAGAAATTATAAAAAAAATTAAATAGAATACCAAATAAGCACTTAATTTATGGGCTACTTGCTTCTCTCTTTGCCCTTTCGTTTGTGGCATATGGGCCTATTAGAGCATTGGCCCATATGTGAGTAAATTTGCAGCATCATACAGGTTGAGAGAAAGCCAACGGATACCTTGAAAAACAAAAAGAAAATTTTTATTTGGATTCAACTATTTTATCTCTACACCCAATTAAATAAAATTTTTTACTAAACTTTCAAATTTGCTCTCAAATAAATAAGAATAAAAAAATAAAAGAAAATAAGCATTGGTATTTTTATCTCTACACTCAATAACTTAAAAAAATGGCAGACATCTACACTCCTCCATTATTTCCCACGAAACACACCTAAATGACAACAAAATATGCTCTTGAGTTCATCAACAAGTAAGCTTGCTAGAAGCCCGTGTTGCATGAAACCCTTAGCGGCCCTCATTTATAATTTTAGCGGAGAAAACTTCTTACCAATTCGTTGGACATGAAACAAATTCCTGCAATATGAGAAAAAAGCTTCCATGTCAGTGTCTATGTAGAAGAGATAGCAACAAGAGTTTCTAGCAAGTTGACTTGTTAGTTTTAATAATTTATGCAAGTAGCCAACTTGTAGATAATGGTTCAAACAAGCAAACGTATTAGCCGAAAACCTACGTTGCAATTATAAATGAGGGCTGATAAGGGTTTATGGCAAGCTGACTCATTGATAAACTCAAGAGAATATTTTACTGTTATTTGAGTGAGTTTTGCCGAAAATAATGGAGGAGTGCTCCATTGTGCCAATTTTGTAGTTATGGGATGTAGAGACAAAAACATCAATGTTTATTTTATTTTCTTATTCTTATTTATTTAAAGATAAACTTGAAAGTTTAACAGATAAAACTTGTTAGTTATATGTAAAGATAAGATAACTGGCTCTAAATAAAATTTCACAAACAAAAATGCACCATATCAATGCCAAATGCGACCATGCAACGGATCGTATGATGCAGAATAAATTATTTCAAGTTGTCAGGTCGGGTGAAGCATCGCAGTGAGAGAGAGAGAGAGAGAGAGAGAGAGAGAGAGAGAGAGAAAGAGAGCCCGAGGAGGCATAGCAAAAACCCGACCTTTGGGACTCTCGGAGGGATCACCTTTCTCCCCGTCTTTCCCCAACGACTCTTCTGCTTGCAGATTCTTGTGCATGATCCAACTCCCCCATCACCTATATTAACTCCTCACGCCACCCGCAAGACCTCTCAATTCAGAGTTCAGACCGCCCTCGATCATCCAATCATGTCTCATTGGGCTCTCTCTCAGGTAGTCCCCGGCCCCGTTTTCAGATTCGTGTTTGTTTCCCGAGAAAATGAAAGAAAAATTGAGTCTTTGGTCGTTTCGTGATTACCCAAGTGCTAGATAGCAGATATTTGATTAGATATGTTGTTTTTGTAATTGGGTTTTGATTGTTTTGGTTGCTTGCAGGGTTCACTGACTGTTCCTGTTGCAAGTGATTTCTCCCTCAGAAGATCTGTGTTCAAGGTGTGATCTTTGTATTTTTGGTGGTGTTAATTTCGTAAAGTTGTGTTTGTTTTTATTCATTTATTATAGCTTAGCATTTCTCGGATTCTCCGCTCGAGCTTAGAAGCACTTTTGTTAGCATTACTTTGTGTGTCTTCAAGGATGGAGCGTCTAGAAGAAAAAGAAGTTGCCTTTTCGGTTTTTTAATTTCCGTTTTTCTTCTTTTTAGGATGTTATAATCTTAGCGGGCATTGTAACATAAATAGTTTTGTTTCAAAGTACAACCAAACAAATCGTAGCTATTAACTTTGAATGTGATGGTGATGGTCTCTTGTGTTGTTAGAAGCTGCCGTGGGCAGTGATTGTCAACAGTTGTGAATTTGAAGTTATGAGCTAAATTTAGTTTAATGATTTGTAATTGAGTTGAATGTTAAATTGTATTAAAAAGATTTACAAGCGTATGAATATCTTTGCGGTTGAAACAAATCTCTTTATGCTGATCTGATTAAGTTTAAACTGCGTCTTAGACTAATGTTTTAGGGTCTTAATATGATGGTTCAAGTTTACCTGATAACAGAGTACATATTTAACCTGCTATGTGTTTGTTCAGTTGATAACTTTCACTGAAACCGCTTGTAATTTTGCTGCAGGCACGAAGTGTTAACTTTAATGATAAATCATGGGCACCTATTTTACCCTTGGACTTGAAGACGAAGAATGGGCAGCTGAGAAATCAGCGCATTGTATGCATGTCGGTGCAACAAGCTAGTGCACCTAAAGTTAATGTAGCTCCTTTACAACTTGAGGATGCTAATGAGCCCCCATTAAATATATACAAGCCTAAGGAACCTTATACTGCAACCATTCTTTCTGTTGAGAGGATTGTCGGCCCAAAGGCTCCTGGTGAGACTTGCCATATTGTTATTGATCATGGTGGTAATGTGCCCTACTGGGAAGGGCAAAGTTATGGTGTAATTCCTCCTGTAAGTAACTTATATTTATGTTTTCATGAATATTTGCATGATTTTTGGCCTTTAAAGTTCACTCGGGTTGTCTTTTTTTTAACTAAATGATATACTCACGTTCATCTGTTTCATGCTCTGCCTATGGATACCCGCTGCAGTTATGATTTTAAAATTAAGAGGATTATGATACGGTTGTTTTCAGCCCCATTTGTTGTCTATCCTCTTCACTAAAGCCGCATAGTTTTATACAATGTTATTGGTTCCATCTTCACACTAAATTCCTCCTTTGTAGTACCTTATTGTGATTCACTTGCATAACAGGGTGAAAACCCAAAGAAACCTGGGGCTCCACACAATGTTCGTCTTTACTCAATTGCATCCTCAAGGTATGGAGACTATTTTGATGGCAAGACAACCAGTTTGTGTGTCCGCCGTGCTGTCTACTATGACCCTGAGACAGGAAAGGAGGATCCTTCCAAGAATGGTGTATGCAGCAACTTTTTATGCAACTCCAAACCTGGTGATAAAATTAAGATCACAGGTAAGAGCCTATTTTTTTAAAGAACATTTGGACTTTTTAAAATGAAATTTAGCCTGCGCAATAGTGCATAGCTCATGGCAATGAACTCATACTGCTCGGGGACTGTGCCCCTAGCTCATTTAGTTACCCCAGCCTGTTCTTCCCTTTTGTTATTTACCAAATGCCTGCCTTCTTCGGATTTCCAACATATATGAGTTCGATGTTCGTTTTAGTTCTTGCCTTGGCCGAGTCATTTTATGGATTTGACACTGTTGTGTAGTTAAGATGCACTCTTTATCAGTAGTTAATTGTACTTTAAATATTAATATGGCAGGGCCTGCTGGCAAGATCATGCTTTTGCCTGAAGACGACCCAAATGCCACCCACATTATGATCGCCACTGGCACTGGTGTTGCCCCATACAGAGGTTACCTTCGTCGCATGTTCATGGAATCTGTTCCCAAATTCAAGTTTGGCGGCCTTGCATGGCTATTCCTCGGTGTGGCCAACACTGATAGTCTCCTCTATGATGAAGAATTCACCAAGTATCTCAAAGACTACCCTGATAATTTCCGGTATGACATAGCACTTAGCAGAGAACAGAAGAACCAGAGAGGAGGGAAGATGTATGTTCAGGATAAAATTGAGGAGTATAGTGACGAGATCTTTAAGCTACTGGATAATGGGGCCCACATATACTTCTGCGGGCTCAAGGGTATGATGCCCGGGATTCAAGAGACCTTGAAGAGGGTTGCAGTTGAAAGAGGGGAAAGCTGGGAGGAGAAGCTTTCACAACTGAAAAAGAACAAGCAATGGCATGTGGAGGTCTACTGATAAGGCACTGTTTCTGAACTGATTTGTGTCTCTTTCTCGAGAAAATGTTGGAAGTCTCTTATGCTAGGTAAAGTTTTCTTCTTTCTTTGTTGTAAGTTGCCCATTTGACAGCTTTAGTTAAGGAACTTGAGTAACAATAGCATTCATCTGTAGCATTAGACAAAGAGCCAAGCCGTCATCTTGGCCGCACCAATTTGTGAAACCCTTTTTATTGTTGATTGATGTTTCATCTTATGATGCTGTTTACTACTTTAAGCATTTATATATGATCGATAGCTGCCCAATTGTCCTGTAAACTATCTCTGGAGTGAATCACGTTTGGATTAGGTGGTTCGAGCGATCAAGCATTGTGGTGTATAAATGCTTCCGATGTTCCTCAGCCCTTGATTGTTTGATTGCATTAGCCATTATCGAGGTTCTCTGTCCAACTACAGAAACGGAGAAACACTTTGATTGCCGAATGATTTTCATCATCTTTTACTTTTTATTTATTTATTTTTTTTTCAAACAAAAATTTTGTTAGATTAGATGTTAGACTGCGTAAAGCTGGAGCCTTGTGCACTGAGTACGACCTTTAGATGTTAGATTAGTACGAGGTTCGAACTTACGCTGTCATGCAAGGGCTCTACTTTTTTCCACCACTGTAGAAAGGGGCCATGTGGCTGTCCAACTGCACACAAAACATTGCACTCCCTGTATTTGGTCTCACCGCTCGCCCGCCCGGTCTCACCCCTTGCGGCTGGTGCCCTATGTAACGTTGTAAAGCTGGAACAGAAGAATCTCTCATGCTTTGTTTAAGCAATATTACGTAATAATCAGAAGGATCCTTCTGTCACATGTTTGGTGGTTGTCCTTTTGTCCTGTCAAAATGCCAATTGTCTCGTGATTGCAATAATAACTGAGATAACACAAGTACACTGGTTTACAGCGTCCTGGACACATGATACAACTTCAAGTGAATGAAAATCTACATATCTTTATATGATCGGTACGAAACTTTACGATAACAGTGTATTCGTGGCATATAATTCATAAGTTATGACTCCACTTATTAACGTTTGGCATGATTCATGAGGTGATTTGGAACTAGAAAGTGACCAAATTTTGGATTGACGCTTTCCCTTGAAAGTGCCAAACATTTCCAGTCCTCAACAATCTGGAGAGTGGGGTATAAATCTTGTAATATTCCCTTCCTAAAAAAGCTATTCTCTTATAAATGTTTGTCTCTCTGTCTTTTAGGTCGGTGTATTCGGTCGGATATTGTTATTCAAATTCATTTTTATTTCTCACATACGCGTCTCAATTTTCGATCGTTAAATTCAATGAATTAAAAAAAATAATGATAAAAAATTAATAAGAGTACGTAAAAAGTAAAAATAAATATGTGAAAACACGATTCTATTCGATTTTATGGATATTTTAATCTTTAACAAAAATCTAACGGTTAAAAAAATGAAGACCATGGTCGCATATTTCGATTACCAAACTTTGTGTTGTGAAGATCATAATCTTATCTAATCCTAAGTCACTCTAACCTTAGTGATGATGGTGCTTGGTGGTGTCAAAGTGCAAACCCACTCAGTTGATGCCTTATCTCTTGCTTCTGCCGGCCATGTCCGTTTGCCACATTCCGTGTTCAAAGGGCTAATGCAATTCATGTTATCATCCTGCATTACTAGTAAGGTTTCAATTTTAAGACTTGACTTGTAGAGCGTAATTCTAACACTCTATTTATCCTTCGCCAGCTAATTATGCAATCAATTATTGTCAAAAGAACTTTATGTGAAACGGTTTAAATTTTTATTATTTTTTCAATACAGATTGTATGTTTTATAACTTTGAAAGGATTTTAAGTTTGAATTAGTCATTTTTATTCATCATTGAAGGCGTTGCATTTTTTGCTCACCATCTTATTGTTTATTGTTGTATGAGTTTGGGTTTGATCTAATTTATGTATTACGTAAATCTCAAAATTTAAACTAAAATAACAATGATTAGTATGGTGATGAACATTACCAATACTTTAAGGTGGTGAGCGAAAATCTACTCGCTAAAAAGAGTCTAAAAACATTTTGGAGGAATGATAAGAGACTCTATCAAAAGTAAGGCTCTTCATGAACTTTCTGACACCTCATGATTTTTGTACAATATTTTATAATGTTGTCACATGAATTGACGTTGGAAGAATATTTCTTAGCATTTCTTATCATTTTGTGTGACGTGGCATTGCGATTGTGTCAATTGTCACGGTGTCATCTAAACATAAACTTTGTCAAGAAAGGCAACTCTCAGGTGGGAATTCATGTACATTTGCAAAAGTAGCATCGTGTACACACCACTACTTTTCAATGTTAATAAATGAATAATAAAATCAGGTTTAATATTAATACCTTTGACATTTTATTTGTTTAAAATAAGGGAGAAAGAAATAAATACGAAATTGCATGAAATTTAATTTAGAATGTCAAACATTTACAACAATTTCTAGAAAGGCAATAACTCAAAATTGGGATGACCCACCAGCTGAAATATCATTTGACAAAGGTAACAAAATTCCTTTTCATTACTAAATACGCATTACAGAATTAACCCATTACATCATAAGTAACTAATTGTCTAGATAGTTTCGAGCGCATGCAAGTGGCTTGTTATTGTGCATAGTATATTCTTCTTTAACGTACTACGTTCTAAATTCAAATTCTATTCATTTTTTTTAGTAGTTTAGGAGTAGCAATATTGTTTGTAAGTTAATAGAGTTAATTCTCCTTCGATTTCTTCCTCACTTATTACTTATCAAATTCGTTATTCACGAGGGTTGAACGTGATACCTACCACCTATAACTATACGGAGCAGTGGAGTTGAAGGGTCGTGACAAACCTTCAATCTACAAGTAGCTCAACCCTTATAGGGTTTTTTTTTTTTTTTTTTTTTTTTGTTTTTTTGTTTTGTGTGTGTGTGTGTGTGTGTGTGTGTTAATTAAGAATGAATATATACCTATGCATCCTAATATGGATTCCCATCAATTCCTCTCTCCCCTAACAACGAACTATTTAACCAAATCAAACTACTACGACTCTAAAAGAAAGAAATGAATACATGCCCAACTGCCAATTTGGGAGTTGGGAGCAGCAAAAGGAGTGTGGTAGTTATTCAAGGGAAGGCAATTAAACTGCCCATATCCTGAAATTAATAATTTTAATCTCAATCCATCCTTCCTGTCCTACCATTGTAATTCCTCCTCCTCTGACCTTACAATATAAAAACAAATAAATAAAATATTTTTCAACAAATAGAAAAACAAAAACGAAACTGAAAAAACAAAACCAAACAAAAACACAGTTGTTTCAACAATCCTCCTCCTCCTCCTCCTCTCTCTCTCTCTCTCTCTCTCTCTCTCTCTCCCCGTCTCTCTCTGTTGCTGGTTATTTCTCTGAAGAATCAATCATTCTATAAAGGGCATTTCCCATTTCTTCAATCCACTGGTAAATTTGATATCTTTCTCCATAATTTTATATTTGTCAGGTTAGTTCTTCATTTCTTTGGATGATTGGTTTATATCATTTTCTCTTTATCTGGTTTCTATGTGATACGTTGGATTGATTTGGAGCCTCTGATTTGGACCAATTTTCCACCTTTAGTTGCATGTTCTATTACTTTTGAATTGATCCCATCATTTATGATTATTAATTAATTATCCCTTAATTGTTGATTTGGGTTTTGTTTCTTGTAATCATTGATTTCATTTCGTTGCGTGTGATTGGAGCTTTCATCATTTGGACACGAAAAAATCAACAAAAAAAAAAAAAAAATCACGTATTTTGTCCATTTATGGGGTTTTTGTAGCCAAGTCAAATAGTATTTTTGTTCATTAGTTTTTCTCTGAATTTGATGTGGATGTTTGGATTATCGGACTGCCTTCAACTTCGAATGATGTCAAAAATCCGTCAACGAGTAGTGCATGTTCGCAGTGTTATTGGGAATTTCATTGTTTTCAAACTGATTTTTGCTCACAGATATGGGGCAATTTGCTTGATATGAGCTCTACAGGATTAGCTTGTCTGCGTACTTTATGCTAAAGAAGTTCAAATTTTGAGGCTTTCGATTCGGTGTGGTTGTTTCGTTTCTGGAACGTTTTTGCTCAGGTTGGTTGTTTTACTTTTCCTTTTTCAGGTCACTGTCCTGATTACTTGAAAATAACCGGCATCACTCGTTTCATGATCGTAAGTTATTAGCGGAGCAATGAATCACCGTCCTATGGAGCTTGGGAGGCCTGCCTCAGGTATGCTTGTAAAACTCAAATCAAAAAGGAAAAATACAATATGAATAGGGTCTTATAACTTGAATTTTTTTAGATATTATGCATTATGCACCGTATTTACATGTAATATTCGGGTAAGAAAAGGAAAAAGGAAGGAAGGTTTGGTTCTACATACTTTCTGTTGCGTGTGTACTATACACTGGACTGTACAACTTTTCTTATTGTGGTTTCTTGAACTAAATCTGTACATGTTTGGCATAAAAAGAAAGTGTCCTTTATGTTTATTGCTTTAATCTAGAAACTGAATGACTTGCACTTTTCAATGCAGGTAAAAAAAGATTAAAAGATTTATTGATCCAAAAAGATAATCGCAATTGTGCTGATTGTGGTGCAACAGATCCTAAATGGGCGTAAGTTTTTTCCCCTTGATACCGACATTGTGTCAGTGTTTGTATAAGCACCAAGTCAATTATTGCACTGTTTGAGACATGCTTGGTTCGTAAGTAAGCTTCAGAGCTCAACGATGAGCGTGTCGTGAAAAGCTATTAGTTGACATCCCAAATTTGGATACACATGTTTCAGGACAATTGAAAATAAATGTACATTAGGACAGTTTACTTTCATTCCTATATCCTTCTGATTTGTAAGATATTTTGTTCGTAACTGCATTTGCAGGTCAGCAAACATTGGAGTTTTTATATGCTTAAAATGTTGTGGTGTGCACAGGAGTCTTGGTACTCATATATCAAAGGTAACCGCTCCTGATTGCTGGATGCCTCTAATTTAATTTTTTAATGGAAACAATTTGCTAGTTGAAAACATGACAGATGACTAGTTAGGGACACTCATGCTTCGGAGTTTTGTTTGCAGGATTGTAATATAACTAAATTTATACAGAAAAAAAAAAAACAGAAGCATGATTGTTTTTAACGACACAAAATCTACTGACCAAAAGTAAATTTGTAACTCGAAGAACGAAATAACTGATTGATCCCAATCTGCTTTCATCAAGGAAGTTCATTTGATTTTTTACTTGAACTTTCATCCTTGGTTGTTTGAGTTGGACCGCAAGGAAACTGGGGAAGTTTATTTCAGTTCTTTTACCAAAAAAAATCTCTCTTTTGGGTTGTCTTCTTCTTTTGTTTTTAGGATGTCAGGCACAGTAGAACTATTCCAGGCTTGCTCGGCAATCTGTCAAATGTTGCTTAATTGATTGATATTCATTATTATTTTGTTTTCTCTATATTCAGATGTGATGTCCCCAGTCGTATGCATTATTATAATTGTATATTTGTCTTAAACAACATGAATTTGAAATGTTCAGGTTTTGTCAGTGACCCTGGATGAATGGTCTGATGATGAAATTGATGCAATGATAGAAGTTGGAGGAAACTCTTCTGCAAATTCAATTTACGAGGCTTTTATTCCTGTGGGAGTTTCAAAGCCTGGACCAGATGCCGGTCATGAGGAACGTTCAAAATTCATCCGGTTAGTTATGATATAGAATTCTAGAATCTACCACGGAGCAGATTCAATTGTTGGGTTATTTTTCAGATTTTTAAAGTAGTCACATATTTATGCAGGTCAAAGTATGAGCTTCAAGATTTTCTGAAACCTAGCTTGCGAATTAACTCAGGTCCTTCTAGAAAGAACACTCTCCAGAGCACTCTCCAATCAAATAGTTTTTCTAGAAAGATTATCGATAGTTTCCGTTCAAATTCTTCACAGAAATCGGTAAATATTGTCACACCTTATGTCTGCCTTTCAATTATGTAGTTTGAGTATTAAAGTAAAAGTTGATATACTTTTGGGAGGGTGGAATATAACTTTGTTCCATACTTGACATGTGCAGCAGGAAGGCATGGTAGAATTTATTGGTTTATTGAAGGTAAAGGTGATTAGAGGCACAAATTTAGCTATTCGAGATATGATGACAAGCGATCCTTATGTCATCCTGACTCTTGGGCAGCAGGTTAATAATTCTTTCACTTTTCTTTTTTTCCTTGGTACTGAAACTTCAGAATCTGCGTGACATGCAGAAGCATGTAGAATTTATGAGATCCCTTTACTTCCTATCTCCTGGTTACTTTCTCTTTCCATGTCAAAGTCAAACATCCAAAATATCCCCAGGAGAGAGATTAGAGAGAGAAAAACAGGGTTTGAAGGGACGAAAAGGGGGGATGGGGGAGAGGGAGAAAGTTCATCTTTACTTGGTTTTTGCATATAACAAGGAACATGGGGGTAAAACTTTCAAAGAACAAGGTTGTTGACACATGCTAACGGGCTAGATTTGATTAAACGTATTAGACCATTTATAGATTGCGAACCAATATGTTAATAATAATATAATTTCAATTTCAATTCACTTGAGACTGACATTTCTTTATTTGATATAATGTAGACTCTTCGGACAACTGTAATAAAGAGTAACTTGAATCCTGTCTGGAATGAGGAACTCATGCTGTCTGTACCTGAGCAATTTGGACCTTTGCAGTTGGTACGTATATCTATACCTCTTTTCCTCTTCATCTTTGCACATAATTCATTTGTTATTCGATAAGAGATTATTATTATACTTGATAGATAAGGAAACACCCTTTTCTTTTAAAGAAAAACTAATGAAAAGGGCTTGAAAACTTTGAGTTTTAATCAAAAGGACAAAAAGGTGTTGTAAGTGAATAGTATCAGGAGTGACTTTTTAGAGTAAAAATATCATTTTCGTTAAAAGTGAACAGTACCGGAAGTGTTTCGTTAAAACTTTCTTTTTTTTTAATCACATTTTGACACCCATTTTGTAGGGCCCACTTCGTAATGTATTTATCCGGTTCGGATCGTTGAAATACATTACGAAGTGGACCCTATAAAGTGGGTGTCAAAATGTGTGTCAAAAAGCGTGTGCCCACCCATCCTAACCCTAATACGAAGTGGGCCGTACTCACCGGAAGCAGTCACGTCAGCCTCCCGCTATTCCTATGTTAAATGTCATAACAAAATTTGTTTTGATGATAAGGAAAACTTTGATGATGCAATCTGACTGTTCCGAAAGGTTTTACCTTTTATCCTTTTTCACTTGTAGATTATGGTATACATGGATAGCAGATTAGCCTGTCTCTGGTCTAATCAGAAGCCTTTATGTATTACTTGGGAAGTATGTTATCGAATCGTTCTGCTTGTCACATTGCAGCAGGTGTTTGATTATGACACGTTCTCGGCTGATGACATAATGGGAGAAGCAGAGGTTGATCTTCAGCCTTTGATAACATCTGCAATGGCGTTCGGGGATGCAGGAATGTTTGGCAACATGCAAATCGGAAAATGGCTGAAGTCGAATGACAATGCCCTCATAGACGATAGCACAGTTAATATTGTCGACGGGAAGGTAAAACAGGAGCTGTCTCTCAAGCTGCAGAATGTTGAGTGTGGAGAATTAGATTTAGAACTAGAGTGGATGCCCCTTGAGCAATAGGTAAATAATTCAATTATTTTTTGTTCATCGTATTCAATAAAAACCTGTCGTTTTTGGTTGAGTTATGTATATTGTTGTATGAAGACTTAGAAAGAGACTCTAAGAAAAGACAGGGAGTGTTTGAGGCTAACGAAAGACTTGGCGCAAAACCGAGTGTAGTGGTGTTCTAGGATTCATACAGCCAACCTCACTTAATGGGATAAAGTTTTGTTGTTGTTGTTGTATGTATATTTTGTATGGAATGGCACCATACACTAATCTCCATCTTGTGTACTTGCTCATAGAAATTCGGTTGTCACTCCAGTTAATGAATTGCCGTTTGATTGGGAAAAATTAGATCATAAGTCCCTTAGTCACAATGGTTTTGCTTATTTCCATTGGAATCTTCTAGTTCTAGAAAAGAAGTTGACCTGGTTGAGATGAAATAAAAGGGAAGAGTAACCCTAACCATATGTTTACTTGGAACGGGAAAAGTCATGAATCGAGGGAAGAGTAACCCTAACCATTTTATTATTTTATATGTCGGTAAAAACGAGAAGTTGAACAAAATTTTTGATTTGAAAAATTGAAATTGCTCTATTCAACCATTGAGAAAGTAAGTATTACTAGACTAAGAGTTAATTAACAAGAAGAGAAATATTACTAAACTGAATCCGATTCTAAGAGCTAATTAACAAGAAGAGAAATATTACTAAACTGAATCCGATTCTTGTTCAAAGATCCGACGCAAGTAACCGTGTTCTTTATCATCATCTTCACTTAGATTGTCGATGATGCCGTGACCCACAAGCTAACCCAAAGTCAACCATGTGCTGTGAGCTGGACTAAAAGCCCAGCAACCGACAATTAATTTTAACAGGAGGATTCTCATCTGATCATCTTTGTGAGAATCTTGAAATCTTTCAATTGCATTCGTTTATCGTACATCGTGCAGTAAACCTCTTTCTTAATTTTACTCCATTTTTGGCATTCCTTTGTGACAAGTTAGTCCTAACATACCACGAGGATGCTTACTTATTCCTTCATAGATCTCACATAATAAAAGCTATATCGATACATTACCAACCTACATCTAACAATAACACTTAAATCTTGAAATAGTATGAAATAATATTTATCTGAGCAGTCCATAAAATTAACGGTTTAGATTTTTCATATAAAGATTTAATGGATTATTGCCCATTTAGATCATGCATAAAACGCGCACGGTATCATTAAGTGAGGCTATAGCCGGAATCTAAATTAAAAGCAACTCTAAGGCAAATTAACAAGGATCAAACAAAAAAAAAAATTGGACATCTGCATCCTCTATCGCATATGATCTAACTCTTAAGTTTATTTACACGAAAAAATAAAAATTAAAGAGTAGAAATCCAAAGAAGCATCAGGAGTCCTTTGAGACTGCTTATAAAATAGCTGAAAGTGTTTTTGATGAAAATATTTTTAGATCTAATCTTTAATCAAAATGCAAGCAAAAAAAGCATTTGAAGAAAGCATTTCGACTTAGTGTTTTTGCAATCTAAAAATATTTTCTTTAAAAACGCATTCAGTCATTTAAAAGCGGCTCCAAACTTATGTGCCCTTAGTTATTACTTAATGTAATTACCTCAAGATGACGGTGACTCTGACGGTAAAGATTTATGCTTTCGGTACTTTAGGACGTAAACAATAGCGGAGGCCACAAATAGCGCGACACCTGCAATCCCACAGAGCAAGCTCACCACCAGCAACACGTCCTCCACGTGATCTCTACGCCTCCCGCCGTCACGTGCCACCACGCCCTTCCACCACGACGCGTCGGCGTCGCTCGAGTTCATCGCCTTTGGCTTCGGCAGTGCCGCGTCCCCCGCCGCCGGAGAATTTTCTCCTCCTCCCCCGCCGAAGAACGACTTCTCATCTGTCGGCGCCTTCGCGCTTGCCGGCCCCGGGTCCTGGTACACGAGGCCGTGATCAGACGGACGCAGCTCCCGCCCGTCAGATTCCATCGCCACCGCCATCAGAAACACCGCTATCGCTGCTACTCCAACTTGGATGAAAAACGCCATTTCTCTCCCTCTCTGCTCCTGCCTCTTCCTCTCGGAGGGCTCAGGTCCACCAACGGCGTCGTTTTATATGATTTTTTTTCCTTTTTTTGTCTGGATTCGGAAAACTGTGTCCTGGTTGTCGTTTGTCGGAGACCAGTGACGAATGAGCAGTGGCTGCTCTCTCTCTGTCCACTGTATTGCAATATAGAATTCACAGAAGTCTATATAAGGACTTCAGTTGATTCAACGGTCGTCGTTTGCTTTATTGTACCGTTCTATTATCCATTCATAATAATTCCTCACACACCAACCTAAATCACTAGAAGTTTTTTCATTTTGTCGGAAAAAAGACTGATATATCAAATGTTATTATACAAGGAGTAGTGATGTTCATATTATGTTTTTGTACTATATTTTTATAACACCTTAAATGATATTTGATGTAAACAGCTACATCATTCAAATTAATTAGGTTTTTAAATTTAGTTAAACATGGTATGAAAATGATGAATTCATGGTTTTATGTCTAATGAAAAATTTGCAAAACCCAAGGAAATGAAGGTGAAATACTCCTCGTAAGCCACAATCATCATTTAATTAACTAATTTTTCTTAATTATTAGTTTATTAAATAATGAACTAAATTTAAAAATCTGATTAATTCAAATGATGTGGCTGTCCACATCAAATGCCACTTAAGATGGTATGAAAATATGATACAAAAACACGGTATGAATAACATGACTCGTATATAAGTGGATATTTTTTTTATAGGTTATTAATTTTTTAACATAAATATCTCATCACTTGTACAATAACAAAAGGTTTATCACCAATGTTCCAGACACATTGGAATCTCTCCTAACATGCACTCTTTTACACCCTGTAATAATAGAAGAAGGAAAAAAAAAAGAACATGATTTCATTGGAACAAATTGTATTTGATGGGAAATCTTGTTCTTAGTCACTTTTTGTGGTTGGTATTGGATTGGATAGCTCGTTAGACACCAAAAACACTTGATCAGATTGTTGACCACGTCGTTCATAGTCTCACAAAAGCTTGGGTTGCTTTACATCTCACCGAATCTCACACAACAACGTTTGTGGTAGGAGATACCTTAATTAGTGCTCTATCGATTTCTTCACCTAGACTCACATTATGTTGGAGGAAGAAATAGAAGTGAACTACCAAGTTTTGTCCAAGTTGAACTCAAGAATGAACTAGTCATGAATGAAATTATCACTCCCGATTCCCACCAATGTTAGGATATCAAGTTATCAACATCTTATAAAAAACTTGAATAATTTAAAAATTTAGCCTTTCATTGCTCTAACGTAGCTTGAATCTTTTGAGTTATCAAATCCAATCCAAGAAACCATCCATAATGATCATGTAATATGTGTGACATAAAAAAAAAAAGATGGCCGGGTGAAGCTTTTGCTTTGTATTTTTGTAAAGCTTGATAAAGAATAGTCATGGTTCATCCGTGATGCCAAAAGTAGCTTAGTTTGTCATATTTTACTTTATTGTATTATAAACAGAAAATTATATTTTTATTATCTATTTGTACAATCTTTCTGATAGAGATAGGACATACATGTTGATGAACCCTACCTTTATTAGAGAGATAATACAAATGATAATACAAATAGATTGTAAGTGTAACACTACTTGACTGGAAATGACTTAAATTGGAAGCATCATTTAGGAGCTTAACTTTTTTGATTTATTTTTAACATGGGCTTAACTTTGGGTCTAAGTTGCTTCTGCTTCATTCTTTCTCTTTTCTTCTTTAACTTCGATGACAAAGAAGAAAAAGAAGGAGCATCAAAATTTAACTGTAGACATTGACGGCGATAAGTAACCTTTGAACAAAATGCACATGAGATTTTTAAGCTGAGAAGAACTATCATGCATATGAAATTTTCTCAGCACTCGATTTTTAACCTAATCATGTAATGTCGTGTGAGAAAGATAAAACAATTGACCATCAAACATGATACACGACAATAAGTGATTGATTTAAGATAGAGAATTGTTATTAGCACTCCAAAAATCTCATTTGGCATTTCAAACTTTCTACAATTAGAAAGAAAAATACACTTATAAGAAGTGTAAAATGAGATTTTTGAAATGTTAATATCAGTTCCCTTAAGATATTATCAACATAATATCTTAGCTGGTGGGAGTTTTTCGCGATTTAGCTATTATATACTTTTAGGGTGCGTTTGTTGCACCGGACTGTCTCGGACTGGACTAGCTGCAGGGACTAAGTTGGATTGGCTTAGACTAGACTAAGCTAGACTAACTTAGTGAAGCGTTTGGTGCAGTGTCGGACTAAGAAGCAGGATAATTAATAAATTCTAATATTATATTAATTTATCTATATCTCTTTTAATATTTTATTCTTACTTCTCTCATTTTTTTCCTTCTTTTTTCTGAAAGCTCTTCATCTTCTTCGAAACCCAATTCTTTTTTCTGAAAGCTCTGAAAGCTCTTCCTCTTCTTCGAAACCCAATTCTTTTTTCTGAAAGCTCTTCCTCTTCTTCGAAACCCAGTTCCATACTTTGAGATCAAATCAAAACCAACTTCCTACAATTACATATCAGAGGAATCGGACGACGGCAAGAGCGGGACCTTCCTCAAAGGTTTGCAGCACATTGTTGGAGCTCTATGCAGCTGCAATTTGGTTGGGCCGCCGAGAATATGCCAGTACTTCATCCAGGGCCTTCGCCTCGTCGACCTCGAGTACCTCCGCCGCACCGGCAACTTCCTCCCCCCACCCAACGCCTCCGAGTCCTGCTGGGTGCCTCCGCCTGCAACTAGTCTCTCGAAAATGGATCGCCCTGCGCCCTCTGCACCACCAGAATAACCTGGCAGAGCTTGCTCTTGACCTGCGAGTCCGTCGGAAACGTCTCCACCTGCGCGGCGTACCCGTCTTGGTGTGGTGCTGTGATCTCGTTGGAGAGAGGGCGCAACGCAGACGAAGCAAAGTCTTCGCAAAGGGAGGACGCCAAGCTACACAAAGGAGACGAAGCAGGTCTTAGCAGTCCCGTGGTTTTCGGGGGGTTTCACTAAGACGACCTAGTGAGGGAGATAGTCCACACGAGTCCGGGCTAGTCTCATTTAAGTTAGTCCCCAAGCTTACCAAACATGGGACAATAATCCTAGCCAGTCCAATCCCACTTAAGAAGGTGAAACAAACGCCCCCTTAAGAAATAGCATACATCTATGCATTTCTTTTTTACATTTACTATTGCTAGTCTTGGTGTCGATCTTTAGTCATGGGCCAAAGTTCTTTTAGTCTGCACCCAAACGTAATGCTTATGCTTGCAATTTTTTTTAATTTTTAAAAAGGGACCATTTGATAGTTTTGTTACGGCAGCCTATCTTATAGGACCGGAAAAACTCATAGAGACATTTCAGCATTTCTTTGGCCATCATTGTGGGATTCACCAGTTCTAGAACTCAAACCCAAAACATATAATGTGAAATACGAGTCTAATATTCGTCTCTAACTACTAAATAATTCTATGATGGTTTATGCTTATGTTTGTAGTAAGTGAGATATCTTATGTGTGTGTTTATATATATATATGAAGTCGTTGGTCGTGACATGTGTATGTCCACGTGTTCGAACAAGATAAGATAACTTGAAAATCCAGTCGTCCAATGGATGTCTGTTCTGAGCACTCTCTCTCCCCCTGCTCTTTCTTTCAAACGAAACACTAAGATCATCTCCAATCGAAAGGTCCAGAGGGCTCGTGGGCCCTATGAATCTGAAAGGGCCAAAGGGTTGGCCCCATGCAGCCAGTCGGGGGCTGGCCAGAAATTCCAGCAATCCTGTCGGATATAACCGACAAGAATATATTTAATATAAATATATTCATGTCGGTTATATCCGACATGAATGCTTAAACAAAAATTTGAATCCAACGGCTAGCTGATGCCAGTTACCATTGGATTCAAATTTTTGGGCCTTTCTTTTTTTTTTTTTTAATTTTTTTTAATTTTTATTTTAATTCTTAAAAATTAATTTTTTTTTTTTAATATAAATACCTAAACCATTCATTCACCATTCCTCACAAAATGAATATTAAATTTAAGTTTTTGTAGTTTTTAAATTTAAGTTAATGTTGTTTTTAAATTTAATTTGTAGTTTTTAAATTTAATTTGTTGTTTTTAAATTTAAGTTGTAGTTTTTAAATATAAGTTGTAGTTTTTAAATTTAAGTTGTTGTTTTTAAATTTAAGTTGTTGTAGTTTTTAAATTTAAATAATAAATTGTGTTTGGCCCTATGGCTCTTTGGCCCTCGGTTAGATACGATTTTTTGTAACAGGGCTAAAACGAGCTCTATGGCCCTTTGGCTCTCGGTTGGAGATGGAGACAAATATGACATTGTACTGTTCATTAAAATATTAATATCTTGGAGGATCAGAAGGCTAAAACGAGCCATCTAACCAATCCTCAGTTGGAGATGGCCTAAGAGCTCGGTGGAGCACCTGCAGTTGCAAATAGCTTCACAAAAATAACAAGACTTTTAGTAAATTTCTAGTTTACTCCCCATAGAAATGGGTAATTCCTCAGAGGCCCACATTTGCCAATGCCTGACCCTCCTATCTACTCTCCGGCGCAATTCCGCGGTCACAATCACCGGCAACCGGCAAAAGACCGGCGAGGAATTCGTGGGTGGTGTCATGTATCTGGCCCAAGGCCTGCTCCAACTCGGCCTATGTTCCGGCGACGTCGTTTCCATTGCTGCCTTCAACAGGTGCCGCTTCACGTGTACAATGCTTTTCAAAGACTCAATAAACTAAGGACTTGTTGAGGATTTCTTCCAAATGAATAGCTTCTGCCCATAATTTTACTAAAAGCGTAACAAATTACTATGAATTCATAAGGTCTGTTTGGTATCCTATTTGAAATTTTTTATCACTTCTCAAAACATTTCTTGAAAACAATTTTCTGCAAGATTCAAAAACTTGATTGATTTGTGATTTAAAAATTTTAAATCTTACGACTTAAACTAGACAAAAAATCTATGAAGAGAAGATCACAAGAGAGGAAGAAAGATGAGAGATAATTGAAGAAAAGAGAAAGAAGAGAGAGGATCGGAAGAGATAGATAGAAAGAGGAGTGAGAAAAAAAACTCAAAGAATGAAGAGAGTGAATTGAAAAAAAGACGAAAAAGGTAAAAAAAAAAAAAAAAAAAGAGAGAGAAAGAAGAAAATAGAGAGATAGATTTGGAGTGAGAGGGGAGGAGGAAGAGAAAAAAAAAGAGTGAGTTTAAGTTTAAAAACTCAATTTTTATGTTTTTAGAGAATAGACTAGATTTTTTAATTAGTCTTGAGTTCAATTTTTTACAATAGTCCTACCAAACAAGTTTTTAAGGCCTAAAACTTGAAAATTATTTTTGAGTTTAAAAAGTTGGGTTCAAGTAGAGTACTAAACAGGCCCTAAGTTTCCTGAAAAAGCACTTTTGCTCATAACTTTGCTAGAAGCATAACAAAAATTTTCACTAGAATTTATCAAGTTTCCTGAAAAAGCACTTCTAGTCGTAACTCTACTGAAGCGTAACAATTTTTTAATTAGAATTCTTAGGTTTCTTTAAAAAACACTTATGCTCATAACGCTACTAGAAGCGTAACAAATTTTGTTTTTTTTTTTTTTTACTAATATCCAAATGTCTACTAACAACACTACTGGAAGTGTAACAATTTTATTTTACTAACATTCAAATGCTTCCTAAAAAAGCACTTCCAAGCATAACTTTACTAGAAGCATAGCAAATTTTTTTTCTTAACGACCATATGCTTCTTGAAAAAGCACTTGCACTCATAATGTTACTAAATTGATGCTTCCAAAGAAAGCACAAAAAAGTGCTTTTAAAATCTATGAACTCTTTTTTGTTATTTCTACCTATGATGTCGTAAGCACTTAGATTATCTGAAAGAACTTTTAGCCATTCTAAACCATGGATAAGTACTAATATTTGGTTGTTTATGATTAATGAATTGTATTTGGAGTGGTTACTAGCCATTGCATATGTTGGTGCCATAGCTGCTCCTCTTAATTACCGATGGGTACGTAAGTAAACTTTGAAACCATACTTTTGTCAATTACTTTTCTGTAACCAAATCTGACCCAACATTTGTTTAATTTGTGCTTTCACCCCATGCAGAGCTACGAAGAAGCACTTTTGGCAATGGAAGTAATGAGGCCAGCAATGTTGGTGACGGATGATAGCTGCATCCCTTGGTACTCAAAGCTTCAACTTCACGATGTACCTTCTCTGAGGTGGCATGTTTCGTTGGATTCGCCTTCCTCGGATGTCTTAAGGGCTTCGAGTAATCGTTACATTCAGAAAATTGTAGCAAAAACCAATTGGTTTAACGTGTTATGTTAATCTGCATTCTTCATTTGGCCAGTGTTAACTACTGAATCGATTAAAAAGAATTCCGTTGGGGCCGCGCTGACGTTGAATTACTCCTGGGCACCTGAGGGGGCTGTGATTATATGCTTCACTTCTGGTATGATCACTACTCTCTGTTTATTTGTCCTCAAAAGATTCTGAATATATTTGTTCTTGTTACGTAGGAACCTCTGGGAGGCCAAAGGGAGTTACCCTAAGTCACTCGGCTTTTATCATACAGTCCCTAGCGAAAATTGCCGTTGTTGGCTACGGTGAGGATGATGTATGCATGTCTTCTTCTTGTAGTTTGCGTCGCGAACGCTCAAATTAGATTTTCACACGAAAGCTAGGGTTGAACGAGATTCAACTCGTGAAATTGAACGAGTTCATAACATTTAATGGTGTGGATATTTGTGAGTTTATTTGCATACTGCTCCGCTGTGCCACATTGGTGGTTTGTCATCTGCCCTGGCAATGCTGATGGTGGGAGTGTGCCATGTCTTGATGCCCAAGTTTGAGGCTAAATCCGCCCTCGAATCCAAGAGCAACATAGCGTTACTTCTCTGATCACCGTTCCGGCAATGATGGCCGATTTGGTTTCTAGATTCAGGTAAATGACGACCCTTTTTCCATATCAGACTTATGAAAGAACGAATTTTTCTGTCTTTCATACACAGTGCACGCATGAGTCTTGAACCGTTGTTTTTCGAAGTTCATGTTCCGTAATCTGTAAGGGAGAAGGAAACATGGAAAGGGATGGATAGTGTGAAGAAGGTATTAAATGGAGGTGGAGGCTTGTCAATAGCTGACCAAAGCTGCCATTACATTGTTCCCACAAGCTAAGCTTCTCTCAGCTTATGGTAATAAGCTCTCTTTATCCCAGCAGATTCCTTCGTTCATATATTTAGTGCTCATTTGGCGCCTAGGATTGAATTTGATTGGATAACTCAGGAATGACGCAGACATGCTCGTCGTTAACCTTCATGACTCTGTACGAACCAACTGCTGACACCGCCGGCCAGCCGCTAAAAATGGTTCAACAAGGAAGAGGTGTTTGTGTTGGGAAGCCTGCTCCTCACTGTTGGAGTTTGTGGCCAAGTGGACTATCCTCCAAAATACCTTTCGGCTAAAGAAAGAAAACATCTTTCGTTGTTTTGGGGAGAAAAAAAGGGAAAAGCAAGGAGGAAAAAAGGGAAAAGCAAGGAGGAAAAAAGGGGTTGTTTTTTATTTAAATGCCTTGCCAAAGGAGAAGGAACGGATGAAGAAGAAAAAAAGCATCCAAAGAGATGGTGAGAGCATTTGGCTCTACCATGGGTACGGGTGAGAAAAATCAAGAGAGCTAGAGTGAAAGATCTCTTGTGAAAGAACTCTTGGGGTAGAGTGAGGCTCTTGGGAAAATTCTGTGAGTGGGTGTACAAGGGATATGGGATTGGGTTATGTTGATTTAACTCATGTGTAACTTGTACTGTTTTTCTCATAGTGAAGAGCAATATCTCTCCGAGGACGTAGGCAGGTTTTTGCCGAACCTCGTAAATTTCTCTGTGTCTTTATTTCTTGTATTTTATTTTGTTCAACTGTGTGTGATTTTGGTGAGGTTGTAATCTGAATCTCGGTTCCGCACTATCGAACGGGCCAAGGCACAACACTCACGTAGAACTGAAGATCTCAGTCGACGGCTCTTCTCGTGTGGGGAGGATCTTAACTAGAGGCCAGCATGTGATGCTCAGATATTGGCATGGAAGTCCACCAAATGCGTCAGTCTCCGGTGACGAAGTATGGTTTGACACCGGTGACATTGGATCCATTGATGACTCAGGTAATGTGTGGCTAATCGGACGAGCAAATGGTCGGATCAAGAGTGGAGGGGAGAACATTTACCCTGAAGAAGTACGTGAGTTTTCAATGTTACATAACCGGCGCATACAATCTAAATGTTTTTGTTGCGGATTTACCAATTTAGAAAAGTATATTTACTTATTTCATTAATTGCTATGGCACACATACAAAACAGGCTCTAAACCTACGTGAACTCTAAAACAACTTCTTCCAACCATGGAAGTAGGAGGAACTAGCGGTCAACTCCAGACGAGGTTCTACCTCGGCTCCTAGACAAAAAGAACCGAGTAAAAACTATGCTTCACAAAAACCAAGCTCCCTATTTGCGCACTGCCCGTATTGGTTGCGAACCATTTCACATCTCATTCCTTCGTCAAATTTTGCTTCTGCAACATGTCTCTCATATGGGAATATCTCTTCCGGCTCATCAACTTTTTCTTGGATGGCTGTTTTGACAAAGGTGATGAATTGCCTGACAACTACTCTGCTGACACCGCGTCACACCAAAGATGCATTGCGAGACCATTAAGAGTATGACCCAACAGTCTCAAATAAGTAAAATTTAAACACATTTATAGGAGTTACGTGACATGGTGAGCTGTTGTAGAAAGACGAAACCATTAAAGTGGAAACCTTACCAAGGCAAAAGGGTGCATCAAGCTGCTTTAGTTTCTCCAGTTAATTCTCTCCTTAACAGCTTCAAGATTTCAGTTATCTGCAAACGCAAGAGAAAAAGACTTGGTCAATATACAAATGTTCTTTCCGCGCATCAAAGCATTCACCACACTAGATCTTCTGAACCAAAAACCTATTAGCAGATAAGAACGTATTCCAACTAATTCCTACAAAATATACAAGGGCCTATTTGCAGAAGTGCTTTTGTTAGAAGCACAACATTATAATTCAGAATCAATTATATGTTTTTATTAACTTTCATGCTTGGAGTAAATTTCTGTCATTCCCGCCAATTTTAATAGATATTTACACCGACATCAATCTTTTTTCAAACACAGGCATCCGATATTTCCACAGACATCAACGCATTCAGCTTTTACATTGGTTCCTCTGAAATCTAGAAGGCATATAGAGCTAACATGACCAACAAATGAATAGAAGAAAGCATCTTACTCCAGGATAATGCTTCAGTACTGGTGAATAATGATCAAGGGCAATGTGTATTTTTTCAACAAGGCTCAATAGAGTATCCACCTTATCCCCCAAAAGATCAACCTGAAAATCAATGATAAAAACTCCATTATAGAAGGTATTGATAAAAATAAATCGTAACGCTCGTTTTTAGTATATTTTAAGGATCTAGGGCACACAAACTACAAAAGGTATCTTTGATTCATAATCATAATTTCATAAACAATATACTAAAAAGATATAATTCATTTTCTTGCGTTACAAAGCTACAGCATAACACTGTGAAACAGAAGTCATATCAGGGCCAGTAATGGAAGATAACTTCCAATCATATTCACACTGTTCCGTCATCCAGCAGGGCATCTCAAACAGCTTCTCCCACATGTATATGCATTATGCAAGCCTCAATTCAATTCCAGGGTTTTATAGCACGAAATATAATATGAGGCCAAAACATCAAGTTGGAATCTATCAATGCACAATACTTATCTGATTTGAATTCACATACCTCAGCTTCGGCCTTTTCCAGGGCAGAACATTTCTTTTCAAGTCTCTGCTCGTACAGCAACCCCCTTCTTACAATGGCATTAGCTTTTTGTTTAAGAAAGCACAATTGATAACTCAAATTCCTCAACCTGGAAACAAAGCCAGAGGCACATTAGCTTTTTGCTTAAGCAAAGAGTAGTATATGGAGGTCCTTGATCTCTTTACCTAAGTAATGATTTAAAAAATTATGGAGAAGAAATCACATTAACATTATTAAAGGTGTTTTCTTTAAGATCATTGTACTCCAAAAACTAGAACTGATGAGGCTAAATTAACACTAACTAATGATATTATCTAGGTAAAAAAGGTTAGTCTGACACAACATTTCTGCCTCGCACTAACCTCTTTCCAGGCAGTTAAAAATACAACAAAATCATTTTAACTTACATGCATACATATGAGGGTTTCGAATGTAGAAACACATCCCATTAGATTAACAAAACATAACCCGTCCCAAGAATCATATAAGAATGTGGTAGCAAATCCATACACAGAACTAGCGCACAAAAAGCATTTACAGGAAGCAATAAAAGCAAAAATAACTGAGGAAGTACCTTGAACATTTCCCTGACATATCTTGTGTTACTCTATTTTCAAATTCAGCAACGGCTTTCCAAAGTTCACGAATATGCACGGCCATTGATTCCAATTGTTGCTTGTGCTCCCTTTCTTTTGCTTCAAGCAAAGAAAAAGCATTTCGCTTCTCTTGGTTAGCATCAAGAAGCATTCTCCTCTCTTCGCAAAACTCTTTCTTTGTTAGTTCAAACAAAGAAAAAACCTTTTTCTTCTCTTCATTAGCATCAAGAAGCATTCTCCTCTCTTCGCACAAATTTTTCATTGTTAGTTCAAGCTTCTGATCTTGCTCCCACACATCAGCCTTATATCTTTCATTTTGCTCCAATGCCTCAGTTAAGTGCTGCTTTATTGCATTTGACTCTTCAATGCTGTCAGAAATCAATTTCTGTAGCCGACATGTCTCGTCCTTTAAATTATGTAGCTCCTGAGCAGCTGATTCATATCGCTTCCATTCAATTTCCAATGCAGCTGTTGCATCATGTGCCAACTGCTCCTTCTCTTCTGACAGAAATGTTATTTCTGTCTTTAATCTCTCTCTGTTCGCAACCTCAACTTCCCATTGTTTCTCTATTTCTAGTTTTTCCATCTCAAGCGAAACACGGAGTTCATTTTCTTCTATATATTTCATGTTCAGGTTCTTGAGATTTTGCTCAGCATCTTTCATGGCTTCTTTGAATACAAGTACAAAATGTTCTTGCATGATAGTGTACTCCATACTCAAATCTTCAATTTCAGATTGGCTGGCAGTTTGAGCACTGTGGGAAGCTTCTTTAAGTATACTTTTGTAAATTTCTTGTATATAAATATTTTCCACATGCGACTCTTCAGCAATGCATTTAATTTGATCCATCATTCCCCTGAGAATACAAGCATACGTGTCTTCAACAATTAAAGCTTCAATGTCCGCATCTTCTACAGCTGATTTAAGATTTGCATTTGTTTTTAACAACTTTGCCTCAGACATGGAGTGTTCTGACGTTTTCTCAGCAGCTTCAGAAACTTGACACTTAACTTCCCTTTCCTTATTTGCAAGCAAATCTCTGAGGTCGTGGTTTTCTGAAATGAGTAATTCCAGTCTCTCTTTCAAACTGCTAAGACTTTCTTCATTATTACCACATGTAGCAACTTCCTCCTTTTCAACAAGAACTTCATCTAATTTGGTAACAACCTCGGAGATTCTCCCACGCAACATGTCAAACTCCTTGCTTTTCTTTGATGGCAAAGAGGATCCCCTTTCTCTAAAAGGTTCTCTCCTCAGGCTGAAAATTTGCTCAGTCAATTCTAGCACTTTAGACTCATGACTTCTCTTCAATTTAGCCATCTCATTATTGTAAAAGCTTGTCAATTCATCTGTTGACATACGCGCAAGCCGGTTGGCACCCAAACGTTCTTGCATGCTTATTTCTGACTCATCATGTTTGCCATTTTCTTCCAAAAGAGATGATGATGTTGATGTAGATGTTGAGGTTGATGAGGACGTCAATGACAATGAAGGCGATGATTTAAGATTGTTCAAAAACTTGTGGTGTGAACGGTCGCCCTTCATATAATTATTACTCTCTTCGTCCACTTCCAAGGACCCGTGAGAAGATAGGTGCCCAATGTCAGAGACAGATAGTGATTTAGAAATGGTATCTAATTCCTCACGTAAACTTGATATCTCTCCCATCCTTCCATGCCAGTTCAAATTCTTATTGCCATAAAACCGGTCCCGATTTTTTTCTTCAATACTCCAAATACAATTCCTCATCACCAGTGCTTCTATTTCTGCTTTAAAATCCTGCTCCTGCTGCCATTCACAGACCGATGCCTTTGCCGAGCTAACCATTTCTTCCACCTGTTGAAAGACAGTTTCTACTGTGCCTTTCAGGCTATCGAACCATCTAGCCACATCAATCCATCTGTCAGATGCATTATCTTGCAGTTTGTCACCCAAGCCCAACAACTGAGAATCAGAACCAATCCTCTTGATTGAACTACACCCTCTCATTCTATCAACTTCATTCTTGAGCTTGTTGAACTGCTCTTTAGTTGCTCCTCTTAAGATGCCCAAAGATTTTTCCATGCCATCATGCTCTACGACAGCTTCAAGAAAGTTAGGACACACACCACCTATGGCACCTTTTTTAATAAATCTGTCTTCCGTACCTTTTGACTCTCGCTCCCTGGGTAAGAATTCGTTTTCATCACCACCCACGCGGGAAACGTGTAACATTTCCTTCAGCTTAGTCACCTCTAGTTCTTTCTGAGCAATTTTCTCTGCTGCTTCTTGTGTGACCGCATCAACGATCCCCTTGATGACCGAGTCACTCACCACCCTCGACACGGTCAACCGGTCATTGATTTCTTTCCAACAAGAATCCAAATCCTGGAGAATTTCAAGACCCGGATTATCATTTTCTTTCACGTCATTGCTAAGCTGCACCAAATCTCCATTGCATGATTCAACACCGTTACTCATGACTTCTAAAATCTCCATAACTTCTTAGGTTCTTCGCAAGTATAAAACGAACTTCACCACCAATATGCAGACCCGTTGAACTGTAAAAGTTCAAAAAGAAAGAAATTAGGAAAAATCACAATTAAAAAAGTCCCAGTAACTTTAATCTTGTCGACTCAACTAAATTTCATGATAACGTGAATCAAATTACAAAGGAACCTGCTCAAGCGCTAATAAAAGTGGAAGAAAACAAAAGATGTAACAGTATCAAGTCATTTAAAAAGAATGCAGAAAACAAATATACACATACATACATAATATATATATAAGTGTATAGTCTCTGAATTTTTTTTTTCATTTCTACTAGTACATAAGTTAAGCAACCAAAAAATGCAATGCCAAATTCAAATTATTTTATATTTCCACCTTCTTGCATTTTCTCGCCAACCAAACAGAGCTTCCACGAAACCAGCTCCAGAACACCAAAAAATAATTGAAAATTAAAAATCCAAAATTCCTAAAAATGGAACCACAAAAAAAGCTACTTGCCAGTGAAGAAGCTGAATCCACTGCCGCTGATGCTGTTTGAAAACCCCGCGACGAGTGTGAATTTTGGGAAAAGCTGCTTGCTTTCGTCGGAACGGAAACTTTTCCAATTTTGTGGTCTGGATTTTAAGGGTTTATGGAGAAAGAGAAGTTATGGGCTTCGGGGTGGATTTGGTGAGCGGGAGAGGGGGGGTATCCATTTGCCGCCGTTGTGCGCCAGAATTACGACTGTTGACGCAGCTTTGAACTTGGTGCGTGTACTTGTGACGTGACGTAAGCGTACGGTCACTTTGTTCTCATTGGGCAGCCTCTCCAACTTTACTTTTTTTCTCATCTTTTCTCGTTACACTATATTTCTTTTCAAATTTTTGGTTGAGACCCCATACTTTTTTTTTTTTAAGAAATTAGAGTAAATTGAATTTTGACTAAATTGAAGCAATGATCTATTAATTAAAAATTTATTACCATTAGTTCCTCAACTTATCAAAACATGCAGATATGGTCTCTCAACTAAAAATTAATTATCATTGGTCCCTCAACTTTAATTTAACCAGAGAAATAACCACTCAACTTTAACCCAATTAGAGTAATAATTCCACAACTTTAACACAATTGTAGCAATGGTCATTCCAACATAACGCGTTTTGACAAAATTCTGACGAAGTTAACGAAAATGACTATAGCTACTCGTTTTGATGAGTTAAGGGACCCCAATTGTAGCAATGGTCATTCCAACATAACTCATTTTGACAAAATTTTGACAAAGTTGACTAAAAAAACCATAGTTACACATTTTAATGAGTTAAGAGACTAATGATAATGGATTTTTAGTTGAGAAATCATTGCTCTATTTTGATTAAAGTTGATGGACTATTACTATAACTTACTCAAGGAATTATATAATATGGTCAATAGTTTAGATTTTGCTCGTCTGAATTTTTCTTTTAAAATGTTAAAAAATGCTTTTAAAGAAAATATTTTTAAAATCAATCTTTAGTAAAAATCTAAGTCAATCTTGAAAAAAATATTTAAAGTACTTTCCAACGGTATTTTTTTTTTCTCCTCTTTTCTCGTTAGTCCATATTTCTTTTCAACTTTTGGTTGAGACCCCATACTTCTAGATTAAGGAATTATATAGAATGACCGATAATTTAGATTTTGCTCATCTGAAATTGCTTTTAAAATGTTTAAAAATGTTTTTGAAGAAAATATTTTTGAAACCAATCTTTAATAAAAATCAAAGTGGCTCTTGAAAAAAATTTAAAGTGCTTTCCAACTATAATTTTTTTTCTCTTCTTTTCTCAATAGTCCATATTTCTTTTCAACTTTTGGTTGAGACCTCATACTTCTTGATTCATCAATTATATAGCATGACCAATAGTTTAGATTTTGCTTGTCTAAAATTGCTTTTAAAATGTTTAAAAACGCTTTTGAACAAAATGTTTTTTAAACCAATTTTAAGTAAAAATCTAAGTGGCTCTTGAAAAAAAAAAAAATTTAAGTGCTTTCCAACTGTAATTTTTTTCTCTTCTTTTCTCATTAGTCCAGATTTCTTTTCAACTTTTGGTTGAGACCCCATACTTCTTGACTAAGGAATTATATAGTATGACCAATAGTTTAGATTTTGCTCATCTGAAATTGCTTTTAAATTGTTTAAAAATGCTTTTGAATAATGTTTTTGAAACCAATATTTAGTAAAAATCTAAGTGGCTCTTGAAAAAAAACATTATGTGCTTTCCAAATGTATCTTTTTCTCTTCTTTTCTTATTAGTCCATATTTCTTTTCAACTTTTGGTTGAGACCCCATGCTTCTTGATTAAGGAATTAAATAGTATGACCAATAGTATAGATTTTGCTCATATGAAATTGCTTTTAAAATGTTTAAAAATGTTTTTGAAACCAATCTTTAAAAAAAATCTAAGTGGCTCCTGAAACAAATTTAAAGTGCTTTCCAACTCTATTTTTTTTTTCTCTTCTTTTCTCATTAGTCCATATTTTTTTTCAACTTTCGGTTGAGACCCCATACTTCTTAATTAAGGAATTATATAGTATGCCAAATAGTTTAGATTTTACTCGTCTAAAATTGCTTTTAAAATGTTTAAGAATGCTTTTGAAGAAAATATTTTTGAAACCAATCTTTAGTAAAAATATAAGTGGCTCTTGAAAAAAAATTTAAAGTGCCTTCCAACTGTAATTTTTTCTTTTCTTTTCAACTTTTGGTTGAGACCACATACTTCTTGATTAAGGAATTATATAGTATAACCAATAGTTTAGATTTTGCTCGTCTGAAATTGCTTTTAAATGTTTAAAAACACTTTTGAAGAATGTTTTTGAAACCAATCTTCAGTAAAAATCTAAGTGGCTCTTGAAAAAACTTTAAAGTGTTCTCCAATTGTATTTTTTTTTTCTCTTATTTTCTTATTAGTCCATATTTCTTTTCAACTTTTGGTTGAGACCCCATACTTCTTGACTAAGGAATTATATAGTATGACCAATAGTTTAGATTTTGCTCATATGAAATTGCTTTTAAAATGTTCAAAAACGTTTTTAAAGAAAATGTTTTTTAAACCAATCTTCAGTAAAAATCTAAATGGCTCTTGAAAAAAAATTAAAGTGCTTTCCAATTGTATTTTTTTTCTCTTCCTTTCTTATTAGTCCATATTTCTTTTCAACTTTTGGTTGAGACCCCATACTTTTTGATTAAGGAATTATATAGTATGACCAATAGTTTAGATTTTGCTCGTCTGAAATTGCTTTCGAAATGTTTAAAAACGCTTTTGAAGAAAATGTTTTTGAAGCCAATCTTTAGTAAAAATCTAAGTGGCTCTTGAAAAAAATTTAGAGAGATTATATTCACATACCCTAAATTACTTCTCCCACACCCTTTTAATTTTTTAATATTTTTTACACACCACTAACACTTGATAGAAAAATATTAAAAAATTAAAAGGATGTGGCAGAAGTAATTTGGGATGTATGAATATAATCTCTGTAAATTTAAAGTGTTTTCCAACTGTATTTTTTTTCACTTCTTTTCTCATTAGTCCATTTTTCTTTTCAACTTTTGGTTGAGACCACATACTTCTTGATTAAGGAATTATATAGTTTGACCAATAGTTTAGATTTTGCTCGTCTGAAATTGGTTTTAAATGTTTAAAAATGCTTTTGAAGAATGTTTTTGAAACCAATCTTTAGTAAAAATCTAAGTGGGTCTTGAAAAAATTTAAAGTGTTCTCCAACTATATATTTTTTTTCTCTTATTTTCTTATTAGTCCATATTTCTTTTCAACTTTTGGTTGAGATCCCATACTTCTTGACTAAGAAATTATATAGTATGACCAATAGTTTAGATTTTGCTCATCTAAAATTGCTTTTAATATGTTTAAAAACGTTTTTGAAGAAAATATTTTTGAAACCAATCTTCTAGTAAAAATCTAAGTGGCTCTTGAAAAAAAATTAAAGTGCTTTCCAACTATATTTTTTTCTCTTCCTTTCATATTAGTCCATATTTCTTTTCAACTTTTGATTGAGACCCCATACTTCTTGATTAAGGAATTATAGTTTAGATTTTGCTCGTCTAAAATTGTTTTTGAAATGTTTAAGAACGCTTTTGAAGAAAATGTTTTTGAAGCCAATCTTTAGTCTAAGTGGCTCTTGAAAAAAACTTAGAGAGATTATATTCACACACCCTAAATTACTTCTCCCACACCCTTTTAATTTTTTAATATTTTTTACACACCACTAACACTTGATAGAAAAATATTAAAAAACTAAAAGGATGTGGGAGAAGTAATTTGAGGTGTATGAATATAATCTCCCAAAATTTAAGGTGCTTTTCCAACTGTATTTTTTTCTCTTCTTTTCTCATTAGTCCATATTTCTTTTCAACTTTTGGTTGATACCACATACTTCTTGATTAAGGAATTATATAGTTTGACCAATAGTTTAGATTTTGCTTGTCTGAAATTGCTATTAAATGTTTAAAAAACCCTTTTGAAGAATGTTTGACACACCCCGACCGAGATCAGGGCGTGCTGGCCATCACACGAAGGTGATGTAGCCATGTGCACGTGCGGAAGCTAATAGAACAGTAATAAAAAGTACGTATAATTAAAACTAACTAGCATACACAGTACTAAAACAAGTGCTAGCGTGTGAGTCACAATTTCAGAGCAAGATTACAACAGTCCAAAAGAAGAGATACAATAAAAGTGCACCCGAAGGTGACCCTACAATGATAGGTGTCTGTCAGAAGTGCCGGAAAAGCCCTCGGGGAAACCACCGAAACTGCTACTCAACTAGAACCTGGAGGGGCGCAAAACAAAAGCGTGAGTGGGCAAAAACAAAGCTTTCGAAAACCATTTATAAAATACTTTCTAACCCCTCGCCGTAAAACCTGTATACTTCCCAGAAAATATATATACGCATAAAACATGTGCTAAGCATGCTCAAATATAAGCCATGTGCTCAATAATATGCCATGCCGAAGTCTCATAGTGAAATGCAAGTGCCCAGGTACAAACATATCAATATCATGTAATCTGGCAGCCGGAGTCACCTAACGTGACCTGTACGGCTGCATATAGAGCTCAAATCTCAATCTCAATATCTGAACCTGCCCACGAGTCGGAACCACCTAAAGTGGTCTGTACGACAGGCCTGGGTGTAAATAAGTGCTACGATCACGTGAAGACTAGGCGAATAATCGCGGGTCACCTACGAGTCGGAACCACCTAAAGTGGTCTGTACGACAGGCCTGTGCACCTACCTTGAATCCAAGGTGAACATAAGGTGCGGGAGGTGAACATCACGTGAAGGACTGTGCCCTGGCCACCGGCGGGAGCACTAACACCGGGGGTGCAGGTTATGAGCTCTCTAACTATCTCAAACCCTTACTGAAACATAAACGTGAATAACGCTTACCTGGCACTTACCTGTGCGTCCACAGCACCCAATATGCATATGTATAAATATATGCAACTAATAACGTAACCAACGATGCACGAAAAACGATAATGTAATGCATGACATAATGAATAAACATTTATTCAAGTTCTGGGAAAATATAGTATATAGGTATATACGGAAAACCAAAAGCCCACTCACTGGTATGTAGAAGGGTCGTAGCCCCCCTGCCTCGCGTGTGCACGCTCGTCTTCGGGGTACGTGTCACCTATATGCGAAATAGCTATAAAAACGTTAACTTTAAAGCACATAACCAATTCCTCGTAATAACTTCTCATACATTGCTCAAAAAGGACACTTGAATATACCAACGTGCTCTACACAACCTCAGGATCACAACCATATTTTTAAAATAATTTTTGGACCTCTCACGCGCCCCCACGCGCCAAAATAGGCACAGACCCATGCGCCCCCACGCGCGGCCACGTGCCATGCACACTGACGGTGTCAACTGACGCCGTCAGGAATATTCCGTTAAACTTAACCGGATACCGTTATTGCCGTTAGGAATATTCCGTTAAACTTAACGGAATATTCCTGTTTCTTCTCCGACCTACCCTCGCCGGACTCCGGCCACCGGAAAACGGGGAAAAGTTTAAACTCACTAATCTCCTTCGTTTTTCATCTATTTTTCACGTAATCTATACCAAAATGAAGCCCTAAACATAATCTACCACGTTGGACAAGTTTTATGGCCTAAAAACAACGGAATCAAACTTTCCAAAAATATGAAAATTCGGCCAAACTTACAATTCGTGGTTCCGACGTCCAATTCCTTCCAACGATGCACTCCCAAGCTCCTTGGGACCTCACCAACACATCTACGAGCTTCAAAAGTCCAAAAACTAACTAGATTAAACTTGCATGAACAGTGCTCAAAACTACCATTGTCGAAACGACGTGAAAACGTTAGAGTTCCTACCTGAAAATGGTATGATTGTGCTCGCCTCGACCTCACGAGTCCAATGGTACCCTTAGTTTCTTCGATCTGTGAGGATTTGGTGGGTTATGGGTTTGTCCGTACGTTTTCAAAGAAGAAGAAAGAGAATGGAGCTCGGGGGAGAAAGAGACAGGGAAAGGCAGAGAGAGAGAGACAGTGTCTGAGAGTGTGTGAGTGTGTGGACCAACACATGCCACAACACACAAAACAACCAATAATGTCAAAGAACGAACTAGGGGTAATTTAGTCATTTCACACGTGCGTTTCGATATTTCCAGGACGGGATGTCACAATGTTTTTGAAACCAATCTTTAGTAAAAATCTAAGTGGCTCTTGAAAAAAAATTTAAGGTGCTTTCCAATTTTATTTTTTTATCTTCTTTTCTCATTAGTCCATATTTCTTTTCAACTTTTGGTAGAGACCCCATACTTCTTGATTAAGGAATTATATAGTATGGACAAGAGTTTAGATTTTGTTCGTCTGAAATTGCCTTTAAAATGTTTAAAAACGATTTTGAATAAAATATTTTTGAAATCAATCTTTAGTACAAATCTAAGTGGCTCTTGAAATAAAATTAATGCGCTTTCCAACTGTATTTTTTTCTCTTCTTTTCTCATTAGTCCATATTTCTTTTCAACCTTTGGTTGAGACCCCATACTTATTGTTTAAGGAATTATATAGTATGACCAATAGTTTAAATTTTGCTCGTCTAAAAATTGCTTTTAAAATGTTTAAAAATGTTTTTGAAACCAATCTTTGGTAAAAATCTAAGTGGCTCTTGAAAAAAATTTAAAGTATTTTCCAACTGTATTTTTTTCTCTTTCCAACTGTATTTTTTTCTCTTCTTTTCTTATTCGTCCATATTTCCTTTCAACTTTTGGTTGAGACCCCATACTTCTTGATTATGGAATTATATAGTATAACCAATAGTTTAGATTTTGCTTGTCTGAAATTGCTTTTAAAATGTTTAAAAACTCTTTCGAGGAAAATATTTTTAAAACCAATCTTTAGTAAAAATCTACGTGGCTCTTGAAAAAAATTTAAAGTGTTTTTGAACCATTTTTTTTTTCTCTTCTGTTCTCATTAGTACATATTTGTTTTCAACTTTTGGTTGAGACCTCACACTTCTTGATTAAGGATATATATAGTTTGACCAATAGTGTCACATCCCGGCCCGAGGCGGATCACTTCCCGGGCCGACTCCACCACCGTAGCACGATATTGTCCACTTTGGGCTTACCATTCCCTCACGGTTTTGTTTTTGGAAACTCACGAGCAACTTCCCAGTGGGTCACCCATCATGGGATTGCTCTAGCCCCCTTCTCGCTTAACTTCGGAGTTCCTACGGAACCCAAAGCCAGTGAGCTCCCAAAAGGCCTCGTGCTAGGTAGGGATTGGAATATACATTTAAGGATCACTCCCCTGGGCAATGTGGGATGTCACAATCCACTCCCCTTAGGGGCCCGACGTCCTCGTCGGCACACCACACCCAGGGTTAGGCTCTGATACCAAATGTCACATCCCGGCCCGAGGCGGATCACTTCCCGGGCCGACTCCACCACCGTAGCACGATATTGTCCGCTTTGGGCTTACCATTCCCTCACGGTTTTGTTTTTGGACACTCACGAGCAACTTCCCAGTGGGTCACCCATCATGGGATTGCTCTAGCCCCCTTCTCGCTTAACTTCGGAGTTCCTACGGAACCCAAAGCCAGTGAGCTCCCAAAATGCCTCGTGCTAGGTAGGGATTGGAATATACATTTAAGGATCACTCCCCTGGGCAATGTGGGATGTCACAAATAGTTTAGATTTTGCTTGTCTGAAATTGCTTTTAAAATGTTTAAAAAGGTTTTTGAAGAAAATGTTTTTGAAACCAATATTTAGTTAAAATCTAAGTGGTTCTTGAAAGAAATTTAAAGTGTTTCCAACCGTATTTTTTTTCTCATTAGTCCATATTTCTTTTCAACTGTTGGTTGAGACCCCATAATTCTTGATTAAGGAATTATATAGTATGATCAATAGTTTAGATTTTGCTCATCTGAAATTGCTTTTAAAATGTTTAAAAACGTTTTTGAAGAAAATGGTTTTAAAACCAATTTTTAGTAAAATCTAAATGGCTCCTGAAAAGAATTTAAAGTGCATTTGGAATCCAAAATTAATTTTGCTAAAATCGTTTTTAATCATTTTAAAAGTACTTACAAATGAGGCATAGCTATTGAATTCTTGGATTTTAATAAAAAAAACTTAAAGTGCTTCTAAAAAACATTTTTCAAGTTCTATTTTGAACTCATAATTACTTTTAACATTTTTTTTTTTTTTTTTTTTTGTCAAATATGATCAAAAGCGCTTGTGATAATTTGAAAGTACTCTAAAACTCACATCTCAACAACATGATCAATTAACGCTAATTACATGAAATAATATAATAGAGGCATATAAGTAAAACAACATCTAGGCATATAAGTAAAACAACATCTAGGCTAATAACACGATCAATTTCTGGGACGGAAGGATTCGAACTATCTATTTCTGCTTTAAAATCCTCCTCCTGCTGCCATTCACAGACTGATGCCTGTGCCGAGCTAACCACTTCTTCCAACTGTTGAAAGACAGTTTCTACTGTGCCCTTCAGGCTATCGAACGATCTATCCACATCAACCCATCTGTCAGATACATTATCATGCAGTATGTCACCCAAGCCCAACAACTGAGAACCAGAACCAGTCCTCTTGATTGAACTACACCCTCTAATTCCATCAATTTCAGTCTTGAGCTTGTTGAACTGCTCTTTAGTTGTTCCTCGTAAGATGCCCAAAGATTTTTCTATGCCACCATGCTCTACGACAGCTTCAAGAAAGTTAGGACACACGCCACCTCTGGCACCTTTTTTAATAAATCTGTCTTCGGTACCTTTTGACTCTCGCTCCATGGGTAAGAATTCGTTTTCATCACCACGCACGTGGTAAACATGTAACATTTCCTTCAGCATAGTCACCTCTAGTTCTTTCTGAGCAATTTTCTCTGCTGCTTCTTGTGTTACAGCATCAACGATCCCCTTGATGACCGAGTCACTAACCACCCTCGATATGGTCAACCGGTCATTGATTTCTTCATTGCATGATTCAACACCGTTACTCATGACTTATAAAATCTCCCTAACTTCTTAGGTTCTTCGCAAGTATAAAACGAACTTCACCACCAATATGCAGACCCGTTGAACTGCAAAAGTTCAAAAAGAAAAAAATTAGGAAAAATCACAATTAAAAAAGTCCCAGTAACTTTAATCTTGTCGACTCAACTAAATTTCATGAAAACGTGAATCAAATTACAAAGGAACCTGCTCAAGTGCTAATAAAAATGGAAGAAAACAAAAGACGTAGCAGTATCAAGTCATTTAAAAAGAAGGCAGAAAACAAATATACACATACATACATAATATATATAAGTATATAGTCTGAAAATTTTTTCATGTTTACTAGTACATAGTTAAGCAACCAAAAAATGCAATGCCAAATTCAAATTATTTTATATTTCCACTTTCTTGCATTTTCTCGCCAACCAAACAGAGCTTCCACGAAACGAGCTCCAGAACACCAAAAAAATAATTAAAAATTAAAAATCCAAAATTCCTGAAAATGGAACCACAAGAAAAAGCTACTTACCAGTGAAGAAGCTGAATCCAATATTTTGCTCATCTGAATTATATAGTATGACCAATAGTTTAGATTTTGCTCATCTGAATTTGCTTTTAAAATGTTTGAAAATGCTTTTGAAGAATGTTTTTGAAACCAATATTTAGTAAAAATCTAAGTGGCTCTAGAAAAAAAAAAAAAAAAAAATTAAGTGCTTTCCAAATGTATCTTTTTCTCTTCTTTTCTTATTAGTCCATATTTCTTGTCAACTTTTGGTTGAGACCCCATGATTCTTGATTAAGGAATTATATAGTATGACCAATAGTATAGATTTTGCTCATATGAAATTGCTTTTAAAATGTTTAAAAATGTTTTTGAAACCAATCTTTAGTAAAAATCTAAGTAGCTCTTGAAAAAAATTTAGAGTGTTTTCCAACTGTATTTTTTTCTCTTCTTTTCTCATTAGTCCATATTTCTTTTCAACTTTTGGTTGAGACCCCATACTTCTTGATTAAGGAATTGTATAGTATAACCAAGACTTTAGATTTTGCTCGTCTGAAATTGCTTTTAAAATGTTTAGTATAGATATGCATATTATTGCATGATGCTGCGGACACCCAGGTAAGCTTCAGGTGAGTGCATATTGATGTTAATGGTTGCATTGGTTATAGTTATGAGTATAGACATGTAAAGCTCATTATCCTGCACCCTGGTGTTAGTGCTCCCGCCCATGGCCAGGGCACAGTCCTTCATATGATGTTCAACTCTCACACCGCACGCTCACCTTGGATCTAAGTTTGGTGCACAGCCCTGTCGTAAATACCACATTAGGTGGTTCCGACTCCTAGGTGACTCGCGATTATTCGCACAACCTTCACGTGATCGTAGCACTTGAGCATACTTATTTACACCCAGTTCTGTCATACAGACCACATTAGGTGGTTCCGACTCGTGTGCAATAATTGGTTAATGAGCTATAGGTTCAGCTATACAAGTCACGTTAGGTGACTCCGCCTGGCATATCATTTTACATTGATTTATTTCACCTGGCTTACTTATTTCATTGATGAGATACTTGACATGGCATATACTAGGTTTTCACTATTCTCGAGCATGATTCTATATATGTATGTATTATTATTTTCTAAAAAATTATAACAGTTTTACGACGAGGGATTATAACATTTTCAAAAGGTTTTTATTAAAACTTTATCTTGAGACCCACTTATCCTTATTTTTTGCCCCTTCAGGTTTTAGCTATTGCAAGTTCGTATCAACGAAGATTCTTGGCAAATCTCAGTATAGGTGGCTACCTATGAGGGTATGATCCTTAGCCACACTACTGTACTTTACTTATACTCTGACGTCGCGTGTAAAATGGATTTATCCCCGCTCATAGCGTACTCTTGTCTTTAGGTACTTTTAGGTTTAAATTTTTTATTCACATTTTCCACATCACTATACTTTATGGCTTCGTCACCCTCTAGGTGTCGGCCGGTACAGCTTGATTCGGAGTCCTAGTGGACATTTCGAGTCGGGGTGTCATTTTGAAGAAAATATTTTTGAAATCAATTTTTAGTAAAAATATAAGTGGCTCTTAAAAAAAAAATTAAATCATTTCCAACCGTAATTTTTTTTCTCTTCCTTTCTCATTAGTCCATATTTCTTTTCAACTTTTGGGTTGAGACCTTATACTTCTTGACTAAGGAATTATATAGTATAACCAATAGTTTAGATTTTGCTCGTCTGAAATTGCTTTTAAAATGTTTAAAAACGCTTTTGACGAAAATATTCTTGAAATCAATTTTTAGTAAAAATCTAAGTGGCTCTTGAAAAAAATTTAAAGTGCTTTCCAATTGTATTTTTTTTTCCTCTTCTTTTCTCATTAGTCTATATTTCTTTTCAACTTTTGGTTGAGACCCATACTTCTTGATTAAGCAATTATATAGTATGGCCAAGAGTTTAGATTTTGCTCGTCTGAAATTGCTTTTTAAATGTTTATAAACGTTTTTGAAGAAAATATTTTTGAAATAAATCTTTAGTAAAAATATATGTGGCTCTTAAAAAAAATTTAAAGTCCCTTCCAATTGTAAGCTTTTCTCTTCTTTTCTCGTTAGTCCATATTTCTTTTCAACTTTTGGTTGAGACCCCAAACTTCTTGACTAAGGAATTATATAGTATGACTAATAGTTTAGATTTTGCTCATCTGAAATTCCTTTTAAAATGTTTAAAAACGCTTTTGAAGAAAATATTTTTGAAACCAATCTTTAATAAAAATCTATGTGGCTCTTGAAAAAAATTTAATGTGTTTTCCAACTGTATTTTTTTTCTCTTCTTTTCTCATTAGTCCATATTTCTTTTCAACTTTTGGTTGAGACCCCATACTTCTTGATTAAGGAATTATATAGTATGACCAATAGTTTAGATTTTGCTCATCTAAAATTACTTTTAAAATGTTTAAAAACGCTTTTGAATAAAATGTTTTTGAAACCAATTTTTAGTAAAAATCTAAGTGGCTCTTGAAAAAAAATTTAAAGTGCTTTCCAACTGTAATTTTTTCTCTACTTTTCTCATTAGTCCATATTTCTTTTCAACTTTTGGATGAGACCCCATACTTCTTGATTAAGGAATTATATAGTATGACCAATAGTTTGATTTTGCTCATCTAAAATTGCTTTTAAAATGTTTAAAAACGCTTTTGAACAAAATGTTTTTGAAGCAAATCTTTAGTACAAATCTATGTGGCTCTTGAAAGAAATTTAAAGTCTTTCCAACTGTATTTTTTTTCTCTTCTTTTCTCATTAGTCCATATTTCTTTTCAACTTTTGGTTGAGACCCCATACTTCTTGATTAAGGAATTATATAGTATGACCAATAATTTAGATTTTGCTTGTCTGAAATTGCTTTAAAAATGTTTAAAAACGTTTTTGAAGAAATTGTTTTTAAAATCAATCTTTAGTAAAAATCTAAGTGGCTCTTGAAGAAAAATTTAAAGTGCTTTTAAAATCCAAAATTAATTTTGCTAAAAGTGTTTTTAATCATTTTTAAAGTACGTGCAAACGAGCCATAGATGTTGGAACCTTGGATTTTAATAAAAATGCGGGTAAACTTTGAAAAAACATCTAAGTGCTTCTAAAAAGCATTTTTCAAGTTCTATTTTGAACCCATAATCGCTTTTAACTTTTTTTTTTTTTTTTTTGTCAAATATGATCAAAAGCACTTGTTGACACACCCCGACCGAGATCAGGGCGTGCTGGCCGTCACGCGAAGGTGACGTAACCATGTGCGCGTGCGGAAGCTATTAAGATAGTAATATAAAAGTACGAATAATTAAAAACCTAGTAGCATACAAAGTACTAGTGTATGTGAGACACAATTCAGAGCAAGTCTACAACAGTCCAAAGGAAAAGATACGACATATTTACACCCGAAGGTGACCCTACAATGGTGAGTGTCTGTCAGAAATGCCGAGACGCCCTCTGGGATAAACCACCGAACTTGCTAGACCACTAGAACCTGGAGGGGCGCAAAAACAAAAGCGTGAGTGGGCAAAAACAAAGTTCTTTGAAAACTCTTTAGCAAAATACATTCTAACCCCTCGCCGTAAAACCTGTATACTTCCCAGAAAATGAACATATATACGTATGTATAGGTATGTCAATCATGCTCCACATATGCCATTCATGCTTGAGAATATGCCACAACAGAATCTCATAATCAAATATAAATACTCAAGCGTAAATCACATCAATAACATATAATCTGGCAGCCGGGAGTCACCTAACGTGACATGTACCGCTGCATCTAGAGCTCCACTCTCAACTCAACATCTGAATCTGCACACGAGTCGGAACCACCTAACGTGGTCTGTACGACAGGACTGGGTGTAATATATACGCTCTAGTGCTACGATCACGTGAAGACTGTGCGAATAATCGCGGGTCACCTACGAGTCGGAACCACCTAATGTAGTATGTCCGACAAGGCTTGCACCTAACTTGGATCCAAGGTGAGCGTGTGGTGCGGCTGAACATCACGTGAAGGACTCTGCCCCTCTCTGGGCGGGAGCACTAACACCGGGGGTGCAGATTATGAGCTCTCTAAACATATCAAATTACTATTGCATAACAACATGAATACCGCTAACCTGGCACTTACCTGTGCGTCCACAGCACCAAACACACATTTATATATATGTATGCCGCTACTAATGCATGTGATGATCCATAAGTAATAATAATAAAGTGCATGGCATAAATCAATTACTCTTTTTAATCTGTTTCTGGGAATTTAAATGTATATAGGTATATACGGAAAACAAAAGCCCACTCACTGATAATTAGAAGGGTCGTAGCCCCCCTGCCTTGAGTGTGAACGTTCGTCCTCGGGAAACGAATCACCTATACGCGACAAAGTTACGAAAACATTAATTTAAAAGCACCTAAGCAACTTCTCGTAATAACTTCTCATACATTGCTCAAAATGGACAATTGAATATACCAATGTGATCTACACAACCTCAGGATCACACCCATATTTTTAAAATAATTTTTGGACCATGCACGCGCCCCCACGCGCAGTCACGTGCACTGCACACTGACGGTGTCAACAGACGCCGTCAGGAATATTCCGTTAACCTGACGGAATATTTCGTTAACCTTAACTGACGCCGTTAGGAATATTCCGTTAAACTTAACGGAATATTCTCCTTTCTTCTCCGGCCAGTCGCCGTCGCCGGCGCCGTCGCCGTCGCCGGAAAACTGGGAATTTTTCAAACTTTGTTTTCTCCTTCGTTTTTCAACCATTTTTCACAAACTTTATACCAAAATGAAGCTTAGGACTAGTAGAACAACGTTAGACTAGTTTTAAGGCCTAAAAACCATGAAATCTCACCTACAACAACGATCCAAGTTCGGCCAACTTTGCACAGGACGATCCTGACGTCCAAATTCACCCAACGAACCACTCCCAAGCTCCTGGGAACCTCACAAACACAACTACAAGCTTAGAATCTCCCAAAACAAGCTAGATTAATTGTGCATGAACAGTGTTCAAATCGGCCATGGCGATATCGACGTGAAAACAACGATATCCTCACCTGAAAATGGCACCTCTGAACTCCTCTCAGCTCCACGAACACGATGATGGTCTTGGTTTCTCGATTGGTGGAGATTTGAGTTGGTTTGTGTGTTTGCAGAAGGGAGAAGAAGAAATGGACTCGGGGGAGAGAGAGAGAGAGAGAGAAGACAGAGTGAGGGAATGAGGGAGGGAATCCCGGGAGAAAAGAGAGTGTATGAGTGTGTGTGGTCCCACCACACCACACAACACACACTAATGGGATAAAAACGAACTAGGGGTATAATCGTAATTCTCCAAGTACGTTAAAATGAAATTTGGGACGGGATGTTACAACCTACCCACCTTAATAAAATTTCGTCCCGAAATTCAAAATAACTAATTACACCCCTAACGGTCAAAGAATAATCTAGGATACAAATCCCTCATTCGTTCTTCTGTCTCCCAAGTAGCTTCTTCAACTGAGTGATTCCTCCACAAAACTTTCACCAAATTTACCGTCTTGTTCCTCAGAACCTTTTCTTTCCGATCCAAGATCGTTAACGGTTCCTCGTCGTACGTCAAATCTGGATTTATCTCTAACGGTTGAGGAGGTATCACATGCAATGGATCAGCAACGTAATGTCGGAGCATAGACACGTGAAAAACGTTATGCACTTTAGCCAACTCCGGAGGCAACTCCAACCTGTAAGCTACCTCACCAACTCTTTCTGTGACTATGTACGGTCCGATGTACCTGGGACTCAACTTTCCCTTCTTTCCAAACCGCACAACACCTCTCCACGGTGAAAGCTTCAGAAATACCCAATCTCCGACCTCATACACTCTGTCCGTAGCATGTCGATCTGCTAAACTTTTCTGCCTGTCCTGAGCTGCTTTCAGGTTAGACCTAATTACCTGAACATTTTGAGTAGTCTCCTCGACAATCTCCGGACCCACTAAGACTCTTTCGCCAACCTCTGACCAACACAACGGAGTGCGACAAGATCTACCATACAAGGCTTCAAATGGCGCCATGCCAATGCTCGAATGGAAACTGTTGTTGTAAGCAAATTCCATCAAATCTAACCGCTGGTGCCAAGCATCACTGAACTGTAACACTGATGCTCGCAGCATATCTTCCAAAGTCTGAATAGTTCTCTCGGACTGTCCGTCCGTCTGTGGATGATATGCCGTACTGTAAAGTAGTCTCGTACCCAAAGCTTCCTGAAAAGCTACCCAAAACTTCGATGTGAATCGTGGATCACGATCCGAGACGATACTTACAGGGACACCATGGTACTTCACAACCTTTGAGATAAACAATTCAGCTAACCGGCTCAAAGAGTACTTCTCTCTCACTGGAATGAAATGTGCCGACTTAGTGAGCCGATCAACGATCACCCAAATGCCATCAAAGCCATTATGTGTACGCGGCAACTTGTACACAAAATCCATAGTGATATTTTCCCATTTCCACTCTGGAACGGGAAGCGGTTGCAACAATCCAAACGGCTTCTTTCTTTCTGCTTTAACCTGCTGACAAATAGCACAACTGCTCACATACTCAGCTATCTCTCTTTTTATACCCGGCCAATAGTAAAATGGTCGAATAGTATGATACATTTTAGTCACTCCTGGGTGCATGGCATAAGCCGAGATATGTGCTTCATCTAGAATTTCCTTCTTCAAATCTGCATTACTAGGCACGAACATTCTACCCTCTAACATCAACATGCCATCAGAATCACGAACTCTGAGATCTCGCCTCCTTCCTTGATCTCGAGCTCGAATTAGTTCTTGAGTCTGTTCATCAGCTACCTGAGCTTCAAGCACCCGATCAACCAAGATTGGTCTAACTTGAAAATTAGCAAGTAATGCCACTTCTCGATCTTCTGCTTCTAACCTTACTCCCGTAGCACGCAAGTCCACTAAAAGAGGAATACGACTAGCGTACAACGCATTGATACGGCCATGTGACTTCCTGCTAAGTGCATCGGCCACTACGTTCGCACGACCTGGGTGATAATCAATCGTGCAATCGTAATCGCTGAGCAATTCCAACCACCTCCGTTGACGAAGATTAAGTTCCTTCTGGGTGAAAAGATACTGAAGACTTTTGTGGTCTGTGAAGATCCTACACTTCTCTCCGTACAGATAATGTCTCCACAACTTCAACGCAAAGATGATAGCAGCCAACTCTAAATCATGTGTAGGGTAATTCATCTCATGGGATTTCAACTGCCGCGAAGCATAAGCAATCACCCTACCATGCTGCATCAATACACATCCCAGCCCATTCAAGGAAGCATCGCTATAAACTTCGAAATCACCACTATCGTTCGGGAGTGCCAAAACAGGTGCATTAGTAAGACAATGCTTCAACTGCTGGAAACTTTGCTCACACTTATCATTCCACTCAAACTTAACGTCTTTCCTTGTTAACCTCGTCAGTGGCAAGGCAATTACCGAAAAATCCTTAACGAATCTCCGATAATATCCCGCCAAACCAATGAAACTTCTCACCTCAGTGACGGTTCGTGGTTGTTCCCAACTCTCCACAGCTGCAACCTTTTGAGGATCAACAAGAATACCTTGAGCAGAAATGATGTGCCCCAAAAATGCGACTTGATCTAACCAGAACTGGCACTTGCTAAACTTAGCATACAGTTGGTGTTCCCTCAACCTCTTCAACACCAAAGTAAGATGTCGAACATGCTCTGCTTTGGACTTAGAATACACCAGAATATCGTCAATGAAGACAATAACAAATCTATCCAGGTAAGGCTGAAATACCCGGTTCATTAAGTCTATAAAAGCTGCTGGTGCATTAGTCAACCCAAATGGCATAACCAGAAACTCGTAATGACCGTAACGAGTCCTGAACGCCGTCTTAGGAACATCATCCCTACTAATCTTCAGCTGATAGTACCCAGACCTCAAGTCTATCTTAGAAAATACACAAGCACCTCTCAGCTGATCAAACAAATCGTCGATACGAGGCAATGGATAACGGTTTTTAATCGTCACCCGATTCAATTGTCTGTAGTCGATACACAGCCTCAAAGTTCCGTCTTTCTTCCTCACAAACAACACTGGAGCGCCCTAAGGCGAAGTACTAGGCTGAATGAATCCCTTATCCACTAATTCCTGTAACTGCACTTTCAATTCCCTTAACTCAGCGGGAGCCATACGATAAGGAGTTAAAGAAATAGGATTGGTACCTGGAAGCAACTCAACAGTGAAATCCACATCTCGATCTGGGGGTAAACCAGGTAAATCCTCAGGAAAACCATCAGGGAAGTGTCTAACCACTCTCACATCCTCAATTCTGCTAGGAACGGTTTCCTCTAGCACCACATGAGCTAGATACCTCTGACAACCTTTAGTCAACAATTTCTTTGCTCGCAAAGCCGAAATAACGCCGTGTCTTACTCCGCTCTGCTCACCCACAAAAGTAACCTCAGGTAATCCAGGACGGTGAAACGTAACTACTTTCCCGTAACAATCAATGTTGGCACGATAGAAGTGCAACCAATCTGTGCCCAAAATCACATCAAAATCGACAATATCTAACGGGATAAGATCAGCTGGCATAACAACACCCTCTACTATCACTGGACATCCTGGGTACATACAATCTACAACACATCTCTCTCCTCTAGGCATAGCGAATTCTAAATCGTACCCTAGAGATGTGGGGCGAGGTTGCGTCAATTGAGCAAATGTATGAGAAATAACGGAATGTGTAGCTCCACAATCAATTAAGACTCTAGCAAAATAACCAAGAATATTTAACGTACCCATTATCAAGTCCGGGTTGTTTTGAGCATCCTGCAGGGAAATATTGTGAATACGCCCCTGGCCCTGCTGTCGTCCTCCACGACCTCTGCTCGCTTGAACACCGCGACCTTGAGCTCCACGCCCCTGACTGGGCTGACCCATCTGTCTCGAAGACCCTGCACTACTAGTAGCATTCTCACCCTGTTGATATTGTCCTCCTTGGTACCACTGAGAACCACCAACTGGAGCTGGAGGATACGGCATGTAGTTGCTGGGATACGAGGGATAACCACCTTGTGAATACGGGTCCTGGGGGTACTGATACGGTCCCGGGGCATAGGGAACAGCATCACCCTGATAATGATAGGCACCACCTCTACCTGCTTGACCATAATTACTCGGACCCTGGATTTGCCGAATCGGTGCAGGTGGCGGCATAAAGGTCTGCTGCGGCTTCTGCTGCTGACTCTGGGGACAATTCACAGCTATATGTCCCGCCTGTCCACACGTGAAACAAACACCACTGCCACGCCTGCATTCGCCGAAATGTCGGTTATTACATCTACGGCAAACTGGGGGTCGGTTTCGGCCACCATCACCTTGTCTCTGGCCTCGAGCACCTCCATAAAACCTACCTCCACGTCCTTGTCCAGAGGCACTAAAACCACCACTAGACGAACTTGAACTTGCACCACCCCTTTTGAAGTTCTGAGTTTGGCGAGGCCCTAGCGATGTTTGACCTTTTCCTTTGTCGTCTTTCTTCTGATTGCCGTTTTTCTCTTCGTCACTATCACTTGACATATTCTCAGAGTCCTCTACCCTCAATAATATCTCATAGAACTCCTGGTAGGACTCGCAGTGAGTAGTAGTCACCATAGAACGCCATTTCTTCTTAGTGCCCAAGCGAAAACGACGAAGCATCTCCGCCGGATTACCAGCGACATCAGGATAGTAACGAGACAAATCAGTGAACTTACGATAATACTCGTTAGCCGTCATCTTTCGCTGTTTCAACTCAGTGAATTCCTGTTTCTTACGGTCGATATACTCAGGGGGTACAAATCTCCTTTGAAACACGTCCTTAAAAACATTCCAATCGGTCCTCTGAGCTGGAGTCAACATACGAAGTTCTTGCTCCCACCAAGCTGCAGACTCCATCTCCAGAAACCATGACGTTGTCTCGACCCACCTTTCCATAGGAAGGTTCCCCTGGTTATGCAACACACGGAAAGTCTTCTCTATGTGTTCCAACCAACGTTCTGCACCTTCATGACCCTCGTTACCTTTAAACTTATCCAACTTCAAATTATACATAGTCTCCAGAGGGGTCCTCTGGGGAGGGCGCATCACTGTTTGAAGGGCTGTAGCAATCACTTCCCCCAACTGAGTAAGATCAGGGAAACTAGGCTCATCTGAGCGACGTGGTTCCCGACGAGGCGGCATGATTCTGACAGAAGACACCAATTATTAGAATACTCACAAAGACACAGGACTGCCAAACCTAGGCTCTGATACCAAGCTGTCACATCCCAACCCTTCAACTCCGAAGATATTGTCCGCTTTGGCATTCCCTGGCCCGAAGGCAGGGCTACCGCACGGTTTTGTTCCTGTGGAACCGGTACCTCCAGCCGAAGCCAGCGCCGTCGCCACAAAAGGCCTCTTCGAAGTTAAGGAGCCAGGCATGGACATATAAGGCCAGGACTCGACCCTCGTGTGGCCGATGTGGGATAGGTTTACCAAGCCTATCCACCCCCCTTAGGGAGCCCGACGTCCCCGTCGGCACACCACCAGCACGAGTCCGGCTCTGATACCAAGCTGACACACCCCGACCGAGATCAGGGCGTGCTGGCCGTCACGCGAAGGTGACGTAACCATGTGCGCGTGCGGAAGCTATTAAGATAGTAATATAAAAGTACGAATAATTAAAAACCTAGTAGCATACAAAGTACTAGTGTATGTGAGACACAATTCAGAGCAAGTCTACAACAGTCCAAAGGAAAAGATACGACATATTTACACCCGAAGGTGACCCTACAATGGTGAGTGTCTGTCAGAAATGCCGAGACGCCCTCTGGGATAAACCACCGAACTTGCTAGACCACTAGAACCTGGAGGGGCGCAAAAACAAAAGCGTGAGTGGGCAAAAACAAAGTTCTTTGAAAACTCTTTAGCAAAATACATTCTAACCCCTCGCCGTAAAACCTGTATACTTCCCAGAAAATGAACATATATACGTATGTATAGGTATGTCAATCATGCTCCACATATGCCATTCATGCTTGAGAATATGCCACAACAGAATCTCATAATCAAATATAAATACTCAAGCGTAAATCACATCAATAACATATAATCTGGCAGCCGGGAGTCACCTAACGTGACATGTACCGCTGCATCTAGAGCTCCACTCTCAACTCAACATCTGAATCTGCACACGAGTCGGAACCACCTAACGTGGTCTGTACGACAGGACTGGGTGTAATATATACGCTCTAGTGCTACGATCACGTGAAGACTGTGCGAATAATCGCGGGTCACCTACGAGTCGGAACCACCTAATGTAGTCTGTCCGACAAGGCTTGCACCTAACTTGGATCCAAGGCGAGCGTGTGGTGCGGGTGAACATCACGTGAAGGACTCTGCCCCTCTCTGGGCGGGAGCACTAACACCGGGGGTGCAGATTATGAGCTCTCTAAACATCTCAAATTACTATTGCATAACAACATGAATACCGCTTACCTGGCACTTACCTGTGCGTCCACAGCACCAAACACACATTTATATATATGTATGCCGCTACTAATGCATGTGATGATCCATAAGTAATAATAATAAAGTGCATGACATAAATCAATTACTCTTTTTAATCTGTTTCTGGGAATTTAAATGTATATAGGTATATACGGAAAACAAAAGCCCACTCACTGATAATTAGAAGGGTCGTAGCCCCCCTGCCTTGAGTGTGAACGTTCGTCCTCGGGAAACGAATCACCTATACGCGACAAAGTTACGAAAACATTAATTTAAAAGCACCTAAGCAACTTCTCGTAATAACTTCTCATACATTGCTCAAAATGGACAATTGAATATACCAATGTGATCTACACAACCTCAGGATCACACCCATATTTTTAAAATAATTTTTGGACCACGCACGCGCCCCCACGCGCCTGAACAGGCACGGACCCACGCGCCCCCACGCGCAGTCACGTGCACTGCACACTGACGGTGTCAACAGACGCCGTCAGGAATATTCCGTTAACCTGACGGAATATTCCGTTAACCTTAACTGACGCCGTTAACTGACGCCGTTAGGAATATTCCGTTAAACTTAACGGAATATTCTCCTTTCTTCTCCGGCCAGTCGCCGTCGCCGGCGCCGTCGCCGTCGCCGGAAAACTGGGAATTTTTCAAACTTTGTTTTCTCCTTCGTTTTTCAACCATTTTTCACAAACTTTATACCAAAATGAAGCTTAGGACTAGTAGAACAACGTTAGACTAGTTTTAAGGCCTAAAAACCATGAAATCTCACCTACAACAACGATCCAAGTTCGGCCAACTTTGCACAGGACGATCCTGACGTCCAAATTCACCCAACGAACCACTCCCAAGCTCCTGGGAACCTCACAAACACAACTACAAGCTTAGAATCTCCCAAAACAAGCTAGATTAATTGTGCATGAACAGTGTTCAAATCGGCCATGGCGATATCGACGTGAAAACAACGATATCCTTACCTGAAAATGGCACCTCTGAACTCCTCTCAGCTCCACAAACACGATGATGGTCTTGGTTTCTCGATTGGTGGAGATTTGAGTTGGTTTGTGTGTTTGCAGAAGGGAGAAGAAGAAATGGACTCGGGGGAGAGAGAGAGAGAGAGAGAGAGAAGACAGAGTGAGGGAATGAGGGAGGGAATCCCGGGAGAAAAGAGAGTGTATGAGTGTGTGTGGTCCCACCACACCACACAACACACACTAATGGGATAAAAACGAACTAGGGGTATAATCGTAATTCTCCAAGTACGTTAAAATGAAATTTGGGACGGGATGTTACACTTGTGATAATTTGTAAGCACTTTAAAACTCACATCTCAACAACATGATCAATTAACGCTAATAACATGAAATAATAGAATAGAGGCATATAAGTAAAACAACATCTAGGCTTAAATTCGGTACAAAATCTAGCACACCAGACCGATAAAGTATCATTGGTCTTATAAATTTTTTTCTAATTGATTGGTTTACATTTTCAGATGAACTTCATCTAATTTTCTGCACTAATATGTTGGCGTTCTAGTTCAAATTGTCTTTGAAATTGGCATAACTTCTCATTTTTATCTTTGATATTGAAAATCAATAGAAGTGATCTCTAGTTTATCCACCGTCAATCATTCTCTTCATTCCGTAAAAAATCTCTGTTAAATGGGAAAATAAGTTGAGGGGTTGATTGGACAAAAATACACTCAATTTAACTAAGACTTTTTCACATAATCATTATAATGATTGACGGTAGACAAACTTGATGATCATTTGTATCGATTTTAAATCACAATGAATAAAATGGGAACTTATACTAATTTCGAAAACCACTTTAACTAAAAAGCGTAATATGTTTGGACAGAGGACTGCTTGTCAGTTGTATTCAACAAATTTAAAAGTAATTGGGTCCTATTACTTTTGTACCTCTCCAACTGTACTTTTCTCTCTTATTTTCTCATTAGTCCATATTTCTTTTAGACTTTTGGATGAGACCCCATACTTCTTGATTAAGAAATTATATAGTATGACCAATGGTTTAGATTTTGCTCGTCTGAAATTGCTTTTAAAATATTTAAAAATATTTTTGAAGAAAATGTTTTTTAAATCAATCTTTAGTAAAAATCTAAGTAGCTCTTGAAAAAAAAAAATTTTAAGTGCTTTTGAAATCCAAAATTAAATTTGCCAAAAGTGCTTTTAATCATTTTAAAGGCACTTGCAAACGAGCTCTAGCTGTTGGATCCTTGGATTTTATTAAAAATGCAGCTAAACTCTAAAAAAAAACACTTAAAGTGCTTTTAAAAAGTATTTTTCGAGTTTTATTTTGAACCCATAATCACTTTTAACTTTTTTTTGTCAAATATGATCAAATGCGCTTGTGATAATTGGCACTCAACCCACATCTCAACAACATGATCAATTAACGCCAATAACATGAAATAATATAATAAAGGCATATAAGTAAAACAGCGTCTAGGCTTAAATCCGGTACAAAATCTAGCACACCAAACCGATAAAGTCTCATTGATCTTATAAGAACTTACATTAATTTTAAAAACCATTTTAACTAAAAAGCGTAATATCTTGTGTTACTCTACATTCAAATTCAGCAACCGCCTTCAATAGTTCACGAATATGCACAGCCATTGATTCCAGTTGTTGCTTGTGCTCCCTTTCTTTTGCTTCAAACAAAGAAAAAAAACATTAAACTTCTCTTGGTTAGCATCGAGAAGCATTCTCCTCTCTTCGCACACCTCTTTCATTGCATATAAGTAAAACAGCATCTAGGCTTAAATCCGGTACAAAATCTAGCACACCAAACCAATAAAGTATCATTGATCTTATAAAAAATTGTCTAATTGATTGGTTTACATATTCAGATGAACTTCATCTAATTTTCTGCATTTAATATGATGGTGTTCTAGTTCATATTTTCTCTGAAATTGACATAACTTTTCAGTTGTTTTCTTGATATTGAAAATCAATAGAAGTGGTATCTAGTTTGTCTACCGTCAGTCATTCTGTGAAAAATCTCCGTTAAATGGAAAAGTAAGTTCAGGGGTTGATTGGACAAAAATACGCTCAATTTAACTGAAATTTTTTCACCCATCATTCTCGCTTAACTTCGGAGTTCCTACGGAACCCGAAGCCAGTGAACTCCCAAAAGGTCTCGTGCTAGGTAGGGATGAGAATATACATATAAGGATCACTCCCCTAGGTGATGTGGGATGTCACAAAAAACGCTTTTGAAGAAAATGTTTATAAAACTAATCTTTAGTAAAAATCGAAGTGGCTCTTGAAAAAAAATTAAAGTGCTTTCCAGCAGTTTTTTTTTTCTCTTCTTTTCTCATTAGTCAATATTTCTTTTCAACTTTTGGTTGAGACCCTATACATCTTGATTAAGGAATTATATAGTTTAACCAAAAGTTTAGATTTTGCTTGTCTAAAATTGCTTTTAAAAAAAATCTTTAAAAACGCTTTTGAAAAGAAAAAAAATTTCAAACCAATCTTTAGTAAAAATCTAAGTGGCTCTTCAAAAAAATTTAAAGTGTTTTCCAATTGTATCTTTAGCTCTTCTTTTCTCATTAGTCCATATTTCTTTTCAACTTTTGGTAGTGGCCCCATACTTCTTGATTAAGGAATTATATAGGATGACCAATAGTTCAGATTTTGCTCGTCTGAAATTGCTTTTAAAATGTTTAAAGATGCTTTTGAAAAAAATATTTTTGAAACCAATTTTTAGTGAAAATCTGAATGGCTCTTAAAAAAATTAAAGTGCTTGGAATCCAAAATCAATTTTGACAAAAGTGTTTTTCATCATTTTAAAAGCACTTGCAAACAAGCCCAAGTTGTGGGATCCTTGCATTTTAATAAAAATGCAGGTAAACTCTTAAAAAACACTTAAAGTGCTTTTAAAAAGCATGA